AAAAACAACAATAACAACAACAAAAAAAAAACCCCAGCAAGCATCTGAAAAAAAAGGAGTAAAAAAGAAAAAACACTTAAAAAAAAAAAAAAAAAAAAAAAAAAAAGGGCAAGTGAAATTATGTGCAAAGCAAAAGAAAACTGATTAAAATGTTTGTATAAATTTAAAACACCTTATTTTGGAGTAAATGAAAAATCATTTTCTTTAAAAATTTGATCCTAAAGGATATTCACAGAAATAGTTTGTTTTAAAAAATATTTTTAGCTGTAGATGGACATGATACCTTTATTTTATTTATTTTTATGTGTTGCTGAGGATTGAACCCAGTGCCTCACATATGCTAAGCAAAAGCTCTACAGCCCAGCCACAACCCTAGACCCCCGTTGAAATAGTTTAAAGTTTGATGTCATTTACCACTCACAAAGTCACTATTTGATTAAGATTCTTTCTAATTGAGGTAAGTTAAAATCACAGATGTTTAGAACATTACAATATCTATGATCCTGTTCACTAATTTTATGAATTCTGCTTTGACCTGCTGAATTTCAGACATTAGTAATTTGCAAAGAAAGACTATGTTGATAAAACAAAAAATTCAGCCAGGTGCAGTGGCTTATGACTGTAATCTCAGCAACTCAGGAGACTGAGGCAGGAAAATCACAAATTTGAAGCCAGCCCGGGCAATTTAGTGAAATCCTCAGCAACTCAGTGATACCTTGTCTCAAAATAAAATGATCTGGGGAAGTAGCTCAGTGGTTGAGTGCTTCTGGGTTCAATCTTCAGCACCCCCAACCCTTCACAGAATTCAAATGGTTTTGAAACTGAAGGGAAACAAAAGCAGTTTCATTTTGTCTCCAGAAACATAAGTACTTTTACCAATGTGCTCAAAGTAACATGGAAGTATTGAGGATGTAGCTCAAAAGTAAAGTGCTTCCTTAGCATGCATGAAGCCCTGGGTTTGATCAAAGCATTGGAGGTGGTCAAAAAGTGACAGTATATGTTACAAAGATCTGGGTTAGATAGAGCCAGAAGTGGTGGTGTGCAACTGTAATTCTAGCTACTAGGGAGGATGAGGAAGGGATTGCCAGTTTGAGGCCAGGCTCAGCAACTCAGCAAGACCCCATTTCAAAAATAAATAAATAAATAAATAAAAGGGGGAAAAAAAGGCCGGGAATGTATTTCAGTGGTAGAGTGCTTGCAATAGTTTGAGAGAGTGCTCTGGGTTTAATCCTCAGAATAGCAGAACAAAAGATTTGAGATAGGAAAAAATAAGTGATACCCTGGTGGGGAGAACTTAATGATCTTCTGTGAGAACTCATTAATTTACTAGTATCTGATTTTTATATATAAAACTACATGTAGAAAATAACATAAATTCATTTTTCCCCATTTAATTCTGTATAAACTGAACAGGGCACAGGAGATTGTTTCCAGTATTGGTTCTATACCACAACACAAAAACTAATAACCAGAATTTTTTATTAGTTTTTTTTTTCTCCAATCACTTAAGGATGGACTAAATACTATATGGGAAAACCGGGCTGTCTTGTTAGTAAGTTATTTATGTCATACTTTTGGCGGAATCACTGACATTCACCTAATTTTTTCTAAGCACTTAATTCTCATTACTCCTGCTTGGAAAGATACACTGCTAAATGCTTCTGACTTGCTGGCCCACTTTCCTAAGGTCTCTGATTAAGGTTATGTTTGTGGACAGAACTGCCCACAGAACACCATTTGTTGTAAAGTTACTTGACTTTACACAGCACTGATTATTATCCACCTATACTATACATTTGTAAGCCTCACGAAAGCAGGGGAGTTTGCTACTCATGCTTGTACCACCAGTTACAAGAATGCAACACTGCCTTAAATTTCCAAAGGGAAAAAAACCTTTCTAAATTTCTAAAACAAAAAAAGAAATAATTATTATTTCCTAGTTTTCAAAATATCTACAATTTAAATAACTTTTGTACTAATTAGAAGGATTAGTATTAGTTAACAAACTGAACCAGATTTCAGGTGTCAGCTCTAGAATAATAATTTTAACATTTAAACAATCACAAATGGGCTCGCTGAAATTAACACCTGAAAGAGTCTTTAGGAAGGGAGGAAGGGGAAGTCCTCCCCATCTCAATAAGGTGGGCCAACATTCAAGTAAACAAAGGAAGACCAGTAGGCAACCTACCCATAAATCATCATAAATTCCAAGAAATGTCAGGCAATGGAAAGGCTGGTGAAAAACACTCAATTTTTAAGTATAAATAAATAATATGTATAAATATAACCCCAAATTAGCAAGCTGAGAATATGTGAAGTATAATTTTCAAAGTGTTCATCAAATTAAGAGGATGTACATCTTTTTAGGTTTTCCTAAAATTTTTATTATTATTTGTTTTCAAAGTATAAGCTTCAAAGATTGATGGAACAAAATATTTTATATACTATCAATATCTTTCTAATTATCACCAAAACAATTATTAAAAAAAAAAAGCTTACATGAAATATTTAAGCTGGCTAGTACACTTGCTGACTATACTAGAGGAAAAGAAATAAAAATGACATCTCAATCTTATCTGTGAATCAAGTGTCTTTATAAGTTATACTCTAAATAAATTGTGGTTTCTACCATCAAGACAATCTTTCTATAATCATTTACCACCAGAATACAAACACAGCAGCCCAAATCAAGATTGTGTAAATTTAACAAAAAACAAAACAAAAAAAGCTCTGAAGTTATGTACCCTTGTACGAACCAATTCCAATTCCAATTTCCTATGTTTCAAAAAAGGAGAAATGAGCATTTCCCTACTGCTCTAAAAAACACAACACTGGGGAAAACCTTTGTTATTCAATAGCAAAGCAAAACTTATTTTATAGTCATCTATTAGTGACTTAAAGAAGATATTCAACCTCCAAAAAAAGTTTAGCACATAAGACATAAAAATGAACTGATTACCTTCTCAGTGCCTCTTTTCTTTTCCCGAGGCTGGTTAAGTTTGGCCTGTCTATCTACCAAAATCTTCTGCCAATACCTCTGTTCGTGATCACCTTAAAAACAAAACAATAATTGAGCACTGAATATAAGGTCATATAAAAAAACAAAATCCAAATCAACAGAACTAAACTAGTTGGAAAAAAAAATACTAGTTCTATTAGAAAAATATAAAAGAATTACCCATAATAATTATTGTTAAAAATTATTAAGTTTTACCAGAAAGGACCTCGAGTTTCCAGCAGTGCTTTTTTTTAATTTCAGTATATGCATTCATAACTGCTTGAGCATCCTCAGGAGTTTTAAATCTGACATGGCATTCTGTATCTCCTTCTAACAAATCAACATAAACAACTTCTGAGATTGCGGCCAAAGTATCCTGCATTGGAATTTAAAATCAATAATTTAAGATGTTTCAAAATAAATCTGAAAAGTATTCAAAGGGTTATCAAATATTTTATATGAAAATACCATTACAGAGACTAAGTATCCCATGTCCAACATTTCTTCTAAAACAAAGCTGTTATTAAAAATACATTACTTTTCTTATCATTTTATATTCAGTGATATATATATATATTTGTGGAATGGAATGTACAAAGGTGCCCACCCCCAACCTCCACCAAACAGTCTGGGAGCAATTATTATAAGAAATGAGAAATAAAATTAAAAGGAAAGAAAAACAGTATTTGGTGGAAGTTTATTTTCACTCACCTGTACATCATCATTCATGACTTAAAATACATGTAACAATTGTTCAACTTTTTATAACATTCATGAAAAAAGTTTTATTGAACCTACAAATTCTTGGGAGTTCTTGAGTAGTTGTACTGGAACACAGCTCACAAGCTCTCAGTTTTTGAAAAAAATATCTAAATAACCTCTTCTAAACAGGTTTTGGTCAACAGCAAGGGAAAAGTTTTACCTATAATGCCTGCTGTGAGGGCAAATTAACAAGATTCCTGCATTCTTAAACAAGTTTTTTTCACAGTAGGTAGCAGGGAGTACCTAAATGCATTTATGCAGGAATGTTACACTAATTCTTAATTCATCAACTTCCTTACCTAAAGCTGAAGAAATAAATGGAGATTTGCAACTGGAAAACATTTATATTGCTTCCATTTACTTTTTAAATTTTTTTTTTAGTTGTGGAGGAACGGAATGCCTTTATTTTATTTATCTATTTTTATGTGGCGCTGAGGATCAACCCAGTGCCTCATGCATGCTAGGCAAGGAATCTATCACTGAGTTACCGCCCCAGCCCACAAATAACTTAATACTAGTTTTAAATGGTGAATTTTTAGATACTTAAATTATGGAAAGAATTGAGTTTATTTGGAAATTATTTCGTTGTAGAACAAAAAATAATTTATTAACATACACTAAAGAATAGGGAGTAAAACCCCCTGAATCTCTAGAAGCTGAGGACTGTAAATATTTGCTGAATCAATTAAAACAAAAAAGAGATAATGTAGACAAATATACATGCCAATTCTTTCCATTTCTTTATCTAGTGACTGCAACTAAATTTAGACATAAAGCAAGAAAAACAATTCAGTTGCTATAATTTGAATGCATTCACTTTTATACTTGATTTTCTAGACTGGTTAAATTAGTACAATTCAAAAGATATTTACTAAATATCCATTATAATGTCAGGTTAACCTCCTGATTTAGAACCCTTAGAATTTAAAACCCTTATAATGACAAATTAGCCTGGTAATCACAGGGGCAAGTCATAGTGCAGTAACTACCATCTTACCAGTTTTTCCTTCAGCAAAATGTAAGTAACTCCTACCTTTATTAATGAGGTTGTCTTATGATTTTGATTGCAAATAAAGAATATGCAATTGTTTTAATTACCATTTTGATAATAAAAGCTTCTTAATTAAAAAAATTATTTTTGGTGCTGAGGATTGAATGCAAACACTTGTACATGCTAAGCATTCACTTATATTCCCATGTTTTTTTTTTTTTGCCTATCCTAAATTCTATATTGCTACTACTGCTTAAATATAAGGTGGTAATATAGCCTTTTGGATTGGCCAAATCCCTCAGCAACATTGGAAAGAGAAACTAAATTGATATCAGTGTGGGCTACAGAATTTTAAAGATACAGTTTTAGATAAGGAGTGCTTTTATACCCTTACTGGTTTTCAAGTTAAAAAAAACCTGACTGGCATGGGTATATGAAAAACCCAAAGAAAACACCTCATGGTACTGAATATCATTATGACAGAACTTCAAAAATATTTGGTGCATCACAGAATATTGTTTACAGTTTAAAATAAAGCTTCTCAGTGAAATGAGTGACAGGGTAAGAGTAAATAAGATACTCCTATATGGAGGAATAGGCATTCATTAATAAGAAGTTTTGCTATCTTTGCTGGTATAAAAAGCTGCAGAACAATGATAAATTGTATGGAGGAAAAACAGATTATATACCAGTATGCATAGCAATTGATAGTGTAAATTATATACAATGATGGGATTGATTTGCCCAAGTCCATTTTGTAGCTCTTCAAAAACAGGTTATACTTTTCTGTAATTGTAAGTAATTAACACAGATTGAAAATATCTTTAATTTCTTCAAAAATTAAGTTTCATATTTCCAAGAATGATTTATCAAGAGAAAAATAAATTAAATCCATGGAAAGTGAAAAAAATATTTTAAATATTATTTAAGTATTTTAAAATATTATTCCATATCTATTTTGGCTTTATTTTTAGAGGCAACAAAACAATTTAGGTATCTATTGAAAGCTAAGAGTGCTAATAATACAAATTCAGAAAATCTTTGTCTTGCTTCAGAACCAGACAATCAGATGACTATAATTTTTAGAAAAATTTAGACAAACTCTAATGTTAGTTAATTCTTCAAAAACAAACAATATAGCATCAAGTACTGAAATATTTGTCTAAATCACGTTTTCACAGAAAACAAAACAGGAAAAAACTTAGGGAAGCACTTTAATACATTTCCTTTAAACTATAGAGCACTCAGCCATTATCGACACAAATAAAATTAAACACAAATTGTAATTTTCCTGTAAAAGAAGGATGTTCAAACTGTGATCACTGCAAATCTGAGTCAGTCAAGAATTTTGGTCTTGACTGTTATACTTTAAGTTATACTTAAAGTTATACTTAACTTATACTTTAAGTTATACTTAACTTGAAGCAAAACCTAAAGATCAGTTAGCATAGAACAAAATTCTTCAGATAAGGTAATTTGATTTGTTTTGTCTTCTATATTAAAAAACATGTTCACACAGGGAAGTTAAAAAAAAAAGAGAAAGGAACCAATAATAGTTTAAGGGCTTAAAAGTTATTACCCGAACTTGTTTCCTGCCAGGTAGAGGTTCTGTGCTAATGATCTTCACAATCACTCCACTCACAAACTGTGGTCCTGGAGCATTAACCTTCTCCTGAGGGTGATTCTCTTGACTGTGAGCTGTTGATTTGAAAAGCAAAACATTCTCACACTTAATAATTTAACACTTAGGACCACTCTTAGAACAAGATTTCTTTGGCTGATAAATAATCAATTTACAATTCACTTAATTTTAAAAGGAGTAATGAATTAATTGTGGAGGCTATATTGTGTCATACTGCTTATTTCAGATAACCAGGAAATAAAATATAGAATGCTACATAGTTACTGTCAATGCAAATTGTTAATGTTAGAAGAGCATTTGTAAAAACCTTAAACATGTTTTCCCATGAATGAACAAAAGAATTATAATAAATAAATAATCACAGGTATTACATTAGAATATTTTAAATATATTTAAATGTGAAAATTTATCTATCTTAGCTACATTCCCAGCTCCTCAAATATTTGTTAAAATAAACCGCCAAAATCAAATATAACTCATATACTTTTCTGGTACCATAGTGATTTTTACCTTTTTCATTTCTCATTTCAGAGTTATTAGGAACTCCTCTGTCTGTCTCCATTCCTGATTCTGATTTTATTTGGGATATAGTTTTTTTTAAAGAAGCCATGCTGGCTTTTTGTAATGCCAAATACTCTTTTTTTAAATCCATCCATTCGCTCCTGTAAGGTAAAAAAGTGAAGTAGGAAAAGGGACAACAGTTGACTTTTTTACTTAAACATATAAATTAACGTAAACAAGTACATTCACAATGAGTCCTGCATATACTCCTCCCAGGTTTTCTCTTTGTCTACAAGCCTTAGCGGCAAATTATTTCTTAGTTCCTAAATCTATCTAGCAAATCAAAGTGAGTTCTTCCTGCCCCAGCATTCAGAAGAGATGTTTTAAGTTTCCAAATTAGATTACTGTTTTTAACATTTTATGAATGTCAAATTTTAGAGTTAATTCATTAATTAGTAACATTTACTAGATCAGTTATTTTGGGGGAAAAGTGAGAGATTAAAATTTAAAGGTTGTTAAACTTCTTCCAATTTGGGAGATAACATTCTTCTAGTACTTACTTGAACCAAGAGGAATTTCTGAGAAGAAAAAAACACCCCATGGAAGCAATTTATTTACATACATTTTAACATGGAGATGTTTCTTCAAACTGTGAGAGCTCCTCCAGATAAAAACACAATGCATCTCCTGGCTCTGTGGGAGTACTCAATTGTTACCCTAATCTGTGCCATCAAACAAGCAGATAGGAGATTTTTTTTTTTTTTCCCAAGAGGAGGATATCTTGTGGTAATGGTTTTAACTGTTAACATTGACATCTGTATACTTCAAAAAAAAAAAAAAAAAAGTATCCAGACCCTCCCAGGATCATACTTTCCCTGAGAGCTGACACATTAAAATAACAAAAGGCTCTTGTAATGATTCTCTGAGATAAAAAAGCAAAAGGAATTCAGGAGGTAAGAACAGTATAAATAGAAGTGCCAAAGTCCTTCTCTTTACTACTCCAGAAGATGAGGACAGAACTCCTTGGAAACTGGTGCCGAACGTAAGGTAAAAAAAAAAACAAAAAAAAACCAAACTTCCTCTAAATTGTTTTTTTTCATCAGCTTTTAATTTTTTGGTACTAAGAGAAGTTCTTGTATGAGTGGACTCCCTTCAACTTTAACATGGAGGTGCTTTCTGTGCTTTTTAAAAAAGAGTAAGTGCTTCCATGTTTCAGTAGAAGTGAATTCAACTTACTGCACCAGAATGGGACTTTTTAGCCCTAAGATTTTGCAGGGGTCCTCTTTGCTTTAACATGGGGGTACCTGCTGTGTGAAACAAAGTAAGTGCTTCCATGTTTCAGTGGAGGTGTCTCCAGAACGGCACGACTACTAATATTTTGCATTTTAGAAGACTATTATTCATTTTTACCTTTGCTACAGGTTAATAGTGTTAAGTCTGGGCTCCCCACCACTTAAACGTGGATGTACTTGCTTTGAAACTGGGAAAGTAAGTGCTTCCATGTTTTGGTGATGGTAAGTCTTCCTTTTACAATTCAGTAACTTAAAATGGAGTACTCAAACTGTCATTTGAAGTATATTTACATCTGTTCAGGGGTCACCTTTACTTTAACATGGAGGCACTTGCTGTGACATGATAAAATAAGTGCTTCCATGTTTGAGTGTGGTGGTTCCTACATAATCTGCACATACAGAAACCAGCTTGAATTAGGTATGGGACTACAGGCCATCACTGTTGCTAACATGCAACTCTGTTGAATATAAACTGGAATTGCACTTTAGCAATGGTGATGGAGTGTTGGTCTGTTAACACTAGGAAATTACTTACTTGGACAGTACTCTCAGTGGTATAACTTCTTCACCCATTTTATGTCTCTCTTTATGTTTTTTCTTATGCTTTCTCTTTGTTTTTAGAGAACCATCTTTTATGTCTCCACCATCCTTTTCCTCTTCTGTAGAGAATTCTAAGTCTAGAGAAATGTAAACGGATTTGTAACTGTAATGTATTTGAAACAGGTTTCCATTGAATCTAAACGCAAACAGATTTCAGCATATCTGATTGTAAACTTAATACCTCTGTTTTCTTTTGAAACTTCAGAAGCTTCTTTTATAATGTCTTTTTGAGCCATTTTCTTCAGTTTAGATTTGGGAGCTAAGCACTCTGCATCTCCAGAACTGCTTCTCTTCCTCTTCCCTGTTTTGCCTTCAGGTAAGCTGGATACTTCTCTTTCCCTTTTCTTTTTTTTCTTTGTGGGCTGCTTTTGAGGTTCAGGTGTTTCTGTTTCAGAGCCCTCGGATGTTGTCCTTGACCTTTTTATCTTAGAGATACTCTCATTGTTTGTGTCCATATTTAACTCTTTTGCTTGCACATTGTCTTCCTTCTTAATTCGGCCCTTCTTCTTCTTTTTCTTTTTCTTTTCTTCTGTAAATAAAAGTAAAGTATAAAAGTAATGTGACATGTAACATTATACTTTTGATGAACTTTAAATTACTCACCAGCTACTCTTAAACCTGGAATAGGCTTATTTTTCACTGTCTTGGGAAATATGCCCGGTTTTCTTGGTGCTTCTTCTGGGGGGTTGTTAAGAAACTGAAATTTAAAAATTAATAAAATAATTGTAAATGTAATTTATTTTTTGCAACAACATTAAATTTGCTTTTTCTGTTTCTCCTTAGGGTTTGGACCTACCTACCTCAATAGCTTTTGCTGCTTGCTCTTTTGTTTCAAATTCCACAAAGGCAAATCCCTTTGGATCTCCAGTAGATTTATAATGTGGTATACTTATATAAACCACATTGCCACATTTCCCAAATACTCTTTCAATCCAGCTGTGATTAACATTTTTGGGAAGTAACTCCTGTGATAATAAAAAGGCTTTCAAATTCTATACCTTTAACATGAATGTTAAAAAAAGTTTTTAAAATAAAATTAAAAGTCCTTCTGTGTACTCCCCTTAATAAAAGTCTTACCACATATACAGTGCGCTCATCCTCATCCTTTGGTCGTTCACCGAGAGGTTTTTTTCTTCTGATTCTGGTGCCTTCTAAGTCCAGCTTTAAAAGGAATACATTTAATAAAAATTGCTATGGGAATTCATAACAATTCAATAAATTCAATAAATTTTAATTTTTTACCTCGACAACAGCGGAACTTTTCAGTGCTCTGGCAATTAACTTCCCATCTGTAGTCAACTTTTTCATTTTGTTAAAAGACACCAGAAGTGATATATCAACATCTAGACAGAAAGTAGAATAAGCATATTTCCCTCTTTATACACACAATGGACATTTGCGAATGGTGGGTCACATGTTATGTGACCTGGGTGATAATTGGGAGCCTTTGTGGGAATTTAGGTAATAGAAACAGAAACTTACATCCATCTCTAGATTTTTCTATTTGCTCTCGAAGAAATCTATCCTTGTGAAGATTTGCATCCCCAAACCAGAAGTCCACTTGCTTAGCAATATCTGCAAGCACCTGTTTCACCCGAGACCGTTTCTTTTTCTCTACATCTTTTTTTTTCTCAGCGCTTTCTTCCATTATCTTTTGATTTCCACTGTCTGTTTCCATATCTGAGTTCGACAAAAAAGTAAAATGTATATTATATATAGTCTTTGCCTGGTACTGAGCATTGAACCCAGGGCCTTGCACATAATGTAGCTCCTGTATTCCTTTTAAACTGCAGAAACATCAACACAGTGGGGTTGTGTTCAGTGGTAGCGCATGTGTGAAGCATTGGGTTTTTAATTAGTAAGATGCGTCCGCCGAAAACTGTCAGTGGATGCAAGTGCAAGATTCACAAGTAACTCCAAATATAAATTTGATTCTTGACTTTTACCAATTACTGCTTTCTAGAAGTAGAATATTTCTTGGGAGGCAATTCCCTCATGCTTCTGTTCCTTTGCTTTCCTCACTTGTTGTTCTGAGGATTGAACCCAGATGTTCTTTATCACTGAGCCACATCCCCCAGCCCTTTTTATTTAGACACAGGTTCTGGCTAACTTGCTTGGAGCCTCTCTAACTGTTGAGGCTGGCTTTGAACTTACAATCTTCCTGATTTTAGCTATTCTAAAACTTAGACCCTGGGTCTATTGAACTTGTTGTTTTCTCTGAAACATATCTCCTGAAATAAGATAGCGAGCTCTCTTACCTCTCTGTCTTTATTCAAAAGTCACTTCTGTGAGGTCTCCTCTGGCAATCATATTTAAAAAGCAAATTTCTGGACAGATATTTGATATTTCCTCTGCCTTATTTTTCTCTAGTTCTTATCACCTTCTAACATTACTATGTGATTTTTTTTTTTCTTTTTCTTTTTTGTACCAGGAATTGAACCCAGGGGAGCTTAATCACTGAGCTGCATTCCCCAGCCCCCTTCTTTTGTATTTTATTTAGAGACAGGGTCTTGCTAATTTGCTTAGGGCCTCACTACATTGCTGAAGCTAGTCTTGAACTTGAGATACAGCTGCCTTAGCCTCCTGAGCCACTGGGCTTACAGGTGTACGTCACTCTGCCTGGCTTAATTTTTCTTTATTCTTTATCCTACCATTTTTCTTGTATTACTAGGGATTGCACCCTGGGGGCACTCTATCACCAAGCTATATCCCAAGCTCTTCTTTATTTAAAGACAGAGTCTTGCTAAATTGCCCAGGCTGCCCTGAACTTGCTGTTCTACTGCCCCAGTGTCTTCTACTGAGTCACTGGGATTACAGGCCCTGCTTTTTATTTATTTATTTTTTATCCTTCTAAAATGTAGGATTAATGAAATAAGAGATTTCTCTTTTTTTCCCCCCGTTGCTCAGATTTTTGGGGGCTGGTAATGAAACCCAGGGCCTTCACTGTGCTAGGCAAATGTTCTACCACTGAGGTAAATCCCCAGCTGTGACTGTTTTGTTTATGGAGTCATCCCCATCCCTGGCTATTTAGTCACTCAAACATTTGTTGAACAAATTGCAAATTGTATATAAAATCTGTTGAATGAACTGAATCACCAGAGGTACATACAAAAAAAAAAAAAAAAAAATATATATATATATATATATGAGTGCATTATCAAAAGATTAAAAATCAAGCCTGGGCTGATGCAGGCCTGCCTGAAAATAACCTCAGTCTCATATTAGAAAATAGAAGGGTGAAAACAAATGGGATTAGTTGTAAATGTCTGTTCTGTTATACCTGGGTTGGAGAACCTATAATATAAGCATGCAGGCCTTGGGCCTAGGTGACCAGAATGCCATAAAAGATTGTTAGGCAACATGGGCAAAATGAGCTAAAGCTTTTTACCTGTGAAGGTGGTCTACATACACCTTAACACTTACCTAGGGAAGTCAGGCATACCTGTTGGGGAGGGGCAAAAAAATACAGAAGTTTTATACAAAGTAGGGTCACACCATTTGTGCTATCATATATATACCTAGGGTAATGATGTCCATCTCATTCCACCATATTTCCTATCTCCATACCCCCAGAAATGAAAAATTGTGGTCCATTTGTGTACAATGAGTCAAAGAACATTCTGTCATCTATATTGGATTAGAATTAAAAAAAAAAAGAAAAAAGAAATTCTAAGAAAATACTTGAAAAACAAAAACAAAAGTTTTGAGTAACTGCTGTATTCAGGTAAATGCTAGGTCTGAGCCTCTGCATGAGATGAAGCTGTTGTACCTACTCTATCTTTTGCTATGTATCCTTCTTTAAAGCTAAGTAAATACAGTATTAGATTAAAGCCTATTTGTGTCTCCTGAGTCTGAGTGCCTACTAGAATCAGGTACAGTGATGCTGCAGATAGTAACAGAAATGATTAATGTGTTTTAAGTTGATATTCAGTAAGGGGATGCAAAGTTCTTCATGCATTTAACCTCAAATCTCTAACTAAACATACATTCTTACCATTGGCAACAGAAGAGAATTTTGGCATTTTTCAGAGTAGACTTCAGCTGATCAGCCATGTATCAATTTTAAAAAGATAAAAGTAATGAAACATTTAGTTTATGCTAGCTTAAAACATAAAATGCAGCTGTACATATAAATTAATAATTAGAAAAATAAGAAATGTCATTTAGCATTGCATAACCACATGCTCATCTCATACTCTCACTTTAATCCCTCTTGGCAGGCTTTCCTTCCTACCATGCGGGTGAAACTGTAAAGTTATCAGTGAATTCCATTGTTTATTTGATTTCTCAGCAAGATTTGGAGCTAGAAACTCCTGCTTTGAAAATACTTTATTCATGTGGCTTCCAAGAAAGTTTTCTTTTACTAGAATGTGTTATACCTATACATGCTGCCTATGACTGGACTGAGTCTTGTGCTCCTTTCTTATCTACTCATTCATTCTTCGAGGCTTTAAGCTTTTGGGGTTTATTTCACAAGTTATATATTCTCTTATCAGCTCCATGTTCCAATCTTACACTATCCACTTATGACTTCCAATTGCTTACCCAGAGAATATCTCAAATTTAATATGAGACAAAAAGAAATCTTGAATTTTACACAAACACTTTCTTGTCCTAGTTTTCCCCATCTCAGAAACACCATATAAAAATTGTTGTGGGCAAAAACATGACAGTGATCCTTAACTCTGCTCTTCCTCATACTCTACAGTCAATTCATCAGCACTTCCATTAGCTCTACCTTTAAAATACATTCTGAACGTGAATTCTTCTCATTTCCTCCTTCATAACCACCTGGTCCAAGCTACTATCATGTCTTGTCTGAACTGCAAGATCCTCTTAACTGGTTTAAAGTTGCTTTTACTCTTCTTTCCTTATAACTAATTTTCCAGATAGAATAGTAATTTAAGAATGCAAATCAGATCAGGCAATTCTTTTTTGGGGGGAGGGTACAGGGGATTGAACTCAGGGGTACTCAACCACTGAGCCATATCCCCAGCCTTATTTTGTATTTTATTTACAGACAGGGTCTCACTGAATTGTTTAGCATCTCACTGGTGCCGAGGCTGGCTTTGAACTCTGGATATTCCTGCCTCAGCCTCCCAAGCAGCTGGGATTACAGGCATGCACGACTGAATCAGGCAATTCTTTGTACAAACTTCTCCAAAGATTTGCTTGTTACATTCAAAATTAAAAAGCCCTACTGTTTACAAGGCCCTATGTGATCCCACCGGAGGATCTCTAACTTCTACAATTCCTTTCAGCAGGATCACTCTGATTATAACACCATTTCTAGATGTCTTAAACATGCTATGGCCATTCCTACTTCAAGGGCTTTCCTTTTTCTGCTCTCTACCTTCCCTGACACATCTGTATGGATTACTTCCTTTTTTACTCAGATGTCTGTGAATGTCACTATCTTAGACTTTCTTTCTTTTCTTTTTTTTTTCCAATATTTTTTAGTTGTAGATGGACACAATATCCTTACCTGTTTATTTTTATGTAGTGCTGAGATTCGAACCCAGTGCCTCATGCATGGAAGGCAAAAGAGATCTACCACTGAGCTACAACCCCAGTCCCGAGACTTTCTTTTTTTATCCAATCTAAAAATTCCCTATCAGAGCACAATTCACACTAGTCAAACTATGGAACAGGCAGAGAATGTGGTATATATACACAATGGAGTTTTATTCAGCCATAAAGAAAAATGAAATTATATAATTTGCAGGACAATGGATGGGACTACTGACCATTATGTTAAGTGAAATAAAAGTTGAGCACGGTATGTTTTCTCTTACATGTAGAAGGTGGAGAGGAAAAAGGACAAGAAAAGTACGGGGAAGAGTAGGCATCTCATGAAAATCAAAGGGAGAGCAGTAGAGGAAAGGGACCAAGAAATGGAAGGTAGGGAGGGGGGACATCCCGGGGACTGATATTGGCCAAATTATAGGTTATATTATGTAATTTTTGCATGTATGAATATGTAACAAATCCCATCATTATATACAAGTATAATGCACCAATAAAAAATGTGGAAGAGGGGCTGGGGTTGTGGTTCAGTGGTAGAGCACTTGCCTAGCATGTGTGAGAACTGAGTTTGATTCTCAGCACCACACATAAATAAATAAAGGTCCATTGACAACTAACAAAATTTAAAAACAAATGTGGAAGAAAAAAATGAACTCCCCTTCAATCTGAAAGCTATCAACCCACCAGTCACTATTTTCTATATATTCTCTTATGTTACCTGGAATTATAATTTTATTGTCTATCTACCCTACTAGAATGTAGACATTATAAGGGTTGGGACTTTACCTTGATCACTACCTAAGAATTTGTTGAATAAATAAATATATTTAAAAGTATCAGGCTGGGATGTAGCTCAGTGGCAAAGTCTGCCTTGCATTTGCAAAGCCTGGGTTCGACTGCCAGTTCCAAAAAAGACAAAGACAAAAACAAAAACAAAACACCAAAATTACCTGTAAAGTGAAGTATTTCAAATTCTTTTGTAAGGTGCTAGGATATAAATATAATACAAAAGGCTATGCTTATCATTGAGGGAAGCTCCACATTACAAAGGGCTAGCTGCCTACTCTCCATTTCCTTTCCTGATGGAAGCCTACCATCTAAGGAATAGTGGATAGAACTACAAAAGCACAGAAAGTCACAATTCTCCCAGAAACCATATTTCTTGTATCATAGCCCAGAGACCCTCCTTCATTCTTCTAAGGATTCAGATGATGAAATATACCTTTCATTTAGGGAAGATATGGATTAAACAGAAAGCAAAGTAAGATGATTAAAGAAAAAAATCATACCTAAACAAGGTTGTAAGGATTAGTCAAAATTTCATAAAGAACATCAAACTGCTGCTATAAAAAACATTCAATAACATATAACCACATTATTTACCAATCTATCACATTCAATTTAATCTTTGAAAGAGCTCTCATTTCCAGTGTTTTCCACAACTATTGTCACTAGAATATGGCAACAATTTATAAACTACTGGAAATCATCCATTCTTCATAGAAAACTATGTGCAACTTGCCCAAAACATGGATAGGGTTCTGTGATGCTGATGTCAAAATTTGCCACTTCAGTCTGGCGCAATAGCACACGCCTGTAATCCCAGCAGCTCCAGAGGCTGTGATAGGAGGATGGAGAGTTCAAAGCCAGCCTGAGCGATAGAGAGGCGCTAAGCAACTCAGTAGAGACCCTGTCTCTAAATAAAATACAAAATAGGGTTGGGGATGTGGCTCAGAGATTTCAAGCCCCTGAGTTTAATCCCTGGTACCAAAAACACAACAAAACAAAACAAACAAACTTGCAACTTCAGAAATTCCTTATCACTTCTCAGTAACATAATTTATATTTAAAAAATATAAGTAAACCAGTAGTCTAACTGGCTTTTAAACATGAGCTTTGAACAAAGATTATAAGTTATTGTGTAACAATGTCAGTTACTTTAAATACACTGTTCTAAATACACACAATCCTATCAGGTAGTTTCTTCCATCCTCTTTTAATGGAGGCTGAAAGTTAAGGAACTTGGCTTTTTAAAGATGGCAATGTTAATGTGTCGTGTTATATTTGAGTCTCACATTGCCTACTTTTTAGTAAAACCTGAAATTTGCCATCATACATGGTATTTTCTGATCTATATAGATTCTTAACCTTAATTCTGTGGAACTTTAGGTGTGTTTCAAGAGTTCTTATGAATCCATGAAATTGCTAAATAATAAATTTTAAAGGAAGGGTAAATCATGATGCTTGTACAAATATAACATGAATACCTGGTAGAGCTTTTACTTAGTTAATGAGGGAAACTTACATGCTACAAAGCAACTCAATGAAGAATTAAAAAAGCAATTAGGAATGTGAAGAAAGAATTACTGAATGGGAGAAAATCTTTGCTAACTACTCTTCTGACTGGGGATTAATATTCAGAATATATAAAGAACTCAAAAAACTAAGCAACCACCCTCTAAAATAAGGGTATTGTGTCCAACTACAACTAAAAAAATAATTATATAAAAATAAAAGAAATATAAATGGTCCAGAAATATGCAAAACAAAATGTTCACCAATTTTAACAACTTGGGAAATGCAAATAAAAAACTACCCTGATATTTCATCATACTCCAGTCAGAATGGCAGCCATTAAAAATACAAACAATAGGGCTGGGGCTGGGGCTCAACCCTAGAGCCTTGCCTGACATGTGTGAGGCACTGGGTTCGATTCTCAGCACCACATATAAATAAATGAATAAAATAAAGGTCTATCAACTTAAAAAAAAAAAAGAATACAAACAATAATAATGCTGGACAGAGGTGGTGAAAAATACTTTAAACTGTTGGTGGAATGTAAATTAGACAACTACTGTGGAAATCAGTATGGTGATTCTGAGAACTCTAGAAATGGAACCCCATATACCATTCATGGATGTTTATCCAAAAGAATTAGAGTCAGCATATTATAGTGATACATGCACACTCATGTTTATAGCAGGACAATTCACAATAGCCAAACTATGGAACCAGCCTAGAGGTATTCATCAATGGATGAATGAATAAAGAAAATATGGTATATATATACACAATGGGGTTTTATTTAGACATAAATAATTATGAAATTATGTCATTTGAAGAAAATGGATGGAAGTTGAAAACATTATGTTAAGTGAAACTAGTCAAACTCAGAAGGTCAAGGGTCATACATTCTCTCCTTTGTGGAAGTTAGAGTGGAAAAAGGAAAAGTGTGTCTGTGTGTTCTTATGAATACTGAAGACCAACAGAGTAGAGGACAGGAACCAGAGGGAGGGAGAAGGGGAGGAAATGGAGATATACTGGGACACAATAAAGGTCAAATTAAACTGCTATGTGGTATGCATGTATGAATATGCTAACAATGAATTCTCCAATATGTATAATTATAATACACCAATGGAAAATATGAGAGGAAACAAGAGCCTTTATTGCTTAGGACCCCCTCCCCCCAAAAAAAACCCCTCAAAAACCTAACCAAATCAAAAAACCAAACACCCATACAGGTACATTAAAATGAATATTAACATATACAAGCAGAGGCAATTACTAATGGTATCCTTGACTAAACCCAATTTCCATTTTTATGGTTCTCTACAAGTTACACAGTTGTAAAATTACTCAATGACAATGAAAGGCATAGTATTTGGACCAGTGAAGTTGATAGGCTTTTTTCTTTTTGCCAAAAATCAGCCAAAAATTTTTTTTCCTTATGAAATTCTACACAAAAAGTTTTTTTCAAAGACACATTTTCCTGGGACGCTCATCAATAACTTTTTTCCTGGTTTTCAAAACAACGCGTGTGCCAAAAAGGGTCAAGAATCACTGTTCTAGTCAAAGCCGATTCAGTGGTAACAAAAACACTTTAGTGGCCTGTGTCTTTGCCTTGAATGAGTCTTCCAGCCTAAGGTGTTTTCTAAATCCCTATTCAATTTCCAAAGCTGTTTAAATGCCGTCTTACTCTTGTGGCCCACTACGTCTTTCCTCATCTCCTCCTCATTTGTTTTCCCTATGTAATTCTACCAAAGGATTCAGTACACTCTATCATTATTACTTGTTAGCTCTTTTCTTCACCTCTCCGAAGACAGGGACTAGAAATTTCGAAAAGAAGTCACACGCCCCCAAGTCCTCATATTTGCTATCCTTTGGCAGCCAAAAGTCAACTCCAGCGTCCGCAAATAAGTCACTTTCCCTATTGCTCCTCTCGCCACCCGTACTTCCGCAGAGACGCCGCCAAATGTGGGGCGTGCCCCAACCCTCCCAACGCCAGTCACTGCGCGCCCCCATAGCTCGAAAACGGGAACTACGTGGGCCGCCACAGGACTTCTGCGCGTGCGCACAGGGTACAAGGCCAAGCGAACTGATGGGAGGGGGCGGGGTAGGAAGGAGACAGATGATACAATAGACGGCATGAAAAAGGACTGACAGGAATTTAGACTTCACCCAACCTGAGCGCCCTAAACGCCACCTGTCACTTACTCGGATCAATTCCCCAAATACAGGGTCAGAGACTGCGTCCTTCAGCCCTTTCCGTCTCCAGAGCCTTAAAGTCGTGGTTATTTCGCGTCATATGACGAGCGACACCGTTCTCGCGTCCCCCCGCCGGAGGCCGTGCGTCCGTCGCAGACGTCACGGGTGACGGCTGCTTCCAAGGAGGTGGGGCTTCAGGAAGCACGGCCAGCTGAGGAGGCGCGAAGCCAATGAAGAATTTGATTGGCCGATTGAAAACGGCAGTTCAGGCTGAGACGGTGGTGGGCGGGCTAAGGACTGGGTCCTCAGCTGGTGCGGTCCCAGGTTAGTGACGTCACACTCGTTCGCGGGAGAAATTCGAAAGTGGATTTTGTGCAATGGGACAGGTGAAATGAAGTGTTTCTTGGGGTTCCCGGGGAATGAAGGGTGGACAGGCAGGGGAATTTGAACGATGAGGGGCGAGGCAGAAGCAGATCGGGAAGTTGTTGTTTGAAAACCAAGATTGAAGTGGTAGTCGACACAGCTTGTTTCAACTACCAATAATCTGTGCCTCATCTTCATCTCTTTGCTAGGCCCTGCTTTGCAATTCTGGTCCTTAGTATGAGGATCAGAGAGAGTTTTTCTCTTTGATTTTAGGACTGCCAAAAGATCAAGTGACCAAGTTTTCATTGTCAATTTGGCGACACAGGAATTTTTTTTCATAGTAGTCTTGGCTAATGAAATGTATGGATTTGTTGTTGTTATTTGGAATGTTAATTTTCTTATTTTTTGTGTGTGTTGGGGATTGAACCCAGGGCCGATCTACCCCAGGGCTACATCCCCAGCCTTTTTATTTTAATGAGGTAGGGTCTCACTAAGTTGCCCTGACAGGCCTCCAATTTGGGATGATCCTTCTGCCTTAGTTTCCTGAGCTGCTGAGATTGCAAGGCTTGCGCCCCCAGCTGGGATAGTTTCTTAACAGAAATCTTGTCTTTCCGTTGAGTTCCTGATTCTGAAACTTTTCAGCCTGAATTACTTAGAGGCCCACATTTAGGTTTGGAAAATCCTGCTTGTTCATAAACAAAAAAAACCCCAAAACATCTCGTCATAATAGGAAGAATGGTCCATATTTTACTAAGAACATGGATATGTAATTTTGTATATATAGCAGCACAAAAATGTATATTTATATGTATGAGCATATTTAATTGTCAGAGAACATCTGTAGTTTCCACAGCAACTTTAAAAACTTTTCAGATTAATCTTTCACCTACTAGAGGATGGTCAACAGTTGAATTGTCTGAACAATTTGGACAGATTAACACTTTGAGAAAATATTTTACCCTTGTATCTCACTTGAATATAATGCTGTTGGCTAAAACCATTTTTTTTTGTTCCCCCAGTTTGATGGTAAGATAAGAAAGGAGGGCCTGGGACTGTAGCTCAGTGATGGAGCACTTTCCTAGCATGCTCAAGGTTTTGGGTTGTATCTTTAGCATTGCAAAAAAAGAAAAAAAGCAAAAAAAAAAAAAAAAAGCAAGTTAAGGTTGTTGACCCTCATTGAATATAAGTATAAGGACTCTTCTAAATATTTTAAAATCCAGTTAGCTTTTCTTTTAGGTTTAATCCCATAATCTAATTTACCTTGTTAGAGAATTTGAATCGTCACAATTTCTTTTTTATTCTCTTTAATTTTTTTTTCATTTTATATATACATGACAGTATATATTTTGACATATTTATACAAACATGGAGAATATTTATTCAAATTTAAGAATAAATTCCACCTGGGCTTGGTGGTGCATACCTATAATCCCAGTGACTTGGGAGGTTGAGGAGAAGGATACCACATTCTAGCCTTATCTCAGTAACTTAGTGAGGCCCTAAGCAGCTTAGCAAGATCCTGTCTCAAAGTAAAAATTAAAAAGGGCTGGGGATATAGTTCAGTGGTAGAGCATCCCTGGGTTCAATGTCCAGCACTGGGGAGAAAAAAATCCCAGAAGTATTAACTTTAACTTAGGAAAATAGTAGGGAATTTATTTTGCAATACTGGGGAATTTCTAGTATAATAGCATAAAAGTAATCCTAAAAGAGTGAATATTAAATTCCTAATATGTAAATCATGATGATAATGCTTACTTTTTTTGGTGCACAGAAGATTTCATGAATGCTAAGTTAGTCATTGTCCTACCTCTTGTATCTAATGTTTGGGATGATGAGACTGATAAATTTATGTAAGGTTTAGTCTAATTCCTGCCTAAAACATGTAGGTAGTTAATAAATAGTTATATAAGTTAGTATTTATGAGTTTGAGCACCAATGTTTACACATTTTTGTGTGTGTTTTTTATTAACGAAAGTATTTAAATTAGATATATATGACAGAATGCATTTTGATTCATTGTACACAATTGGAACACAACTTTTCATTTCTCTGGTTGTACTTGATGTACACAATTTTGTTTTGAATTCTAAATGTGCCATTTATAATGTTGGGCAAGTTACTCAATTATTATGTCTTTCAGTTTCTTTGTTAAATGGATACAGAAATAGTATCTATATCATAAGGCTGTACACATTTAAAGCATTTTAACAGTGTCTAGCATATAATTATACTGAATAATAATAGCTATTATTAAAGAGTTCAATATTAATAACTGCTATATACTAACTGCTGCATGCACTGTATTCATACTGTGTATTTTATCATCTGTATACATATAATATACAGCTTCTCGTGGTGGGAGCAAGTTGCTCCAAAACCACCAGGGATATGATTCTCTGAATTTTTTTTTTTTTTAAGACACAATGTCTTTATTTTACTTATTTTTATGTGGTGCTGAGGATTGAACCTAGTGCCTCACATGCATGAGGCAAGCGCTCTACCGCTGAGCTATAACCCCAGCCCTCTCTGAATCTTAAATTTTGTTAGCATACTTAGATATGTAGTAATTCCTGTGGGCTGAAGGAAAGGGGTATAAAAGAAGTTGCTGTAAGGAAAGAACTGAACAAAGGAAATAAAGAAGGTGCTAGGAGAGGCAGCTGAACATTAACTCAGATTTATTTTGGACAGACCTGCCGGTGGGATTCCAGGGGGAGGATCAAACCCATCTTATAGCCTACAGAAGTTATAGAGTAGTGAGGGAATGGGGAAATTTTTGTGACTAGGCCATTGCTTAGGGGTTGTCAGGGAAGGGTCCTTTTGGTCATCACCTTCATTCTTTGTGGTAGACCCTAGTCCATGTATAACAAGGTATTATCTTAAGATTTCAGTCCCAGATAACGATTCCCTTTTTTGTGTAATGATGGAGTATTGTTTGGGGGTTAGGTTAGGCTGGGTCAGAGTTGCTGTGGGGTGATCATTTTTCTAAGAGGGAGGATATGTTTCAAAATGGCGTTGTCCTGGGGAGAATGGAAGAACTTTGATTGCACAAAGGGGAGGGAAAGGAAGGAAAGAGGGATGGTGGAGGCAGGAAAGATGGTGGAATGAGATGGACGTCATTGCCCTAGGTACTTGAATGACTGCACATATGGTGCGATTCTACATCATATACAACCAGAGAAATGATATGTTGTGAACCATTTGTGTACAATGAATCGAAATGCATTTTGATGTCATGTATAACTAAGTAAAACAAATGAAAAATCAAACAACAAAACCCAAAATGGTGTTGCCCAAGTCAAGTTCTCCCTAACAAACATATTTCTGAAAGTTAGGGTTAGTGGGTCCTTTCCTGTGACCTGTCTCCTGAGGCAAGTATGCATATCCCATTGGCCTACCTCTTATGCCATCCTTTCTCAGCAACTAGAGTGATCTTTGTGAAATCCAAGTTAGATTATGTCATTTTATTTTTAAAAAAACTGCTGTATCTTCTGCTGTCTTCAATAAAAGTCCAGACGCGTTGGCATAACATAGAAAGTTCTCTGAATCCAGCCTGTTCTCTCAACACTTACTCTAGCACTTTTCTCTTTAGACTACCCGGAGTTTTCTGATCAGGCTTGCCCTTATACATCTTGTTTCCTGTTGGGAAGATCTTCACTGCCATTTTTCCTTGGTTAATGATTATTTCAGCTTATATCTTAGACATCCCTTCCTTCAGGAAACTATTTAATATTTTAGACCAAGTTGCACACTCTTTCTGTCCTAATTCCTATTGCATTTTATTCTATTTTTTTTTTTTTTTAATCACTCAGCTTTAGTGAAAATTTCTTGAGATCAGGGATAGCATTTCATTAATTTAATAGCAATCTAGACAATGAATGGCACTTAGTAAGCTTTGAATAAATATACCCAGTTTACAAATAATATGTAGGTGGCATATTTTATGTATGGAAGGGAAGAACTGAATCCAGAATCACAAATTTGTTTTATTGAATCCCTCTATTTTAGGACCGTATTCTCAAACTCGAGCATGCATTACCACCACTTAGAGGGCTTGCAAAAGTATAGACTGTTGGGCCCTCACCCTAGACTTTCTGACTTAATAGGTCAAGAGTGGGATCTGAAGGCAGATGCAGTGGGGCATGTCTATAATCCCAGCTGCTTGTTAGGCTGAAACTAGGAGGGTCACAAGTTTGAGGCCAGCCTGGGCAATTTAGTGAGATCCTGTCTCAAGAAATAAAAAGGGCTGGGAGGGACTAGGGTTGTGGCTCAGTGGTAGAGCGCTTGCCTAGCACATGTGAGGCAATGGGTTTGATCTTCAACACCACGTAAAAAAATAAATTAATTAAATAAAGATATAAAAAATACAATAATATTAAGAAAAAGTCTGGGAATGTAGCTCAGTAATAGGACATGCCTGGATTCAAACTCTAGTACTTAAAAAAAAAAAAAAGTGAGACCTGAGAATATTCATTTCTAATTCCTACGTAATGTTACTGGTCCAGAGAGCATACCTTTTGGAAACACTTCCTTCGACATCTCTATTTCTTCAGTTCACCATTAGTTATTTGTTTTTGCAGTACTGGGGGTTGAACCCAGGGCCTTGCACATTATGCAAGCACTCTACCACTTAGCTACATCCCCAGCTCTTTCATAAAATTCTATTATTATTATTATTATTGGCAGAGATTGAACCCAGGGATACTATACCATTGAACCACATCCCCAGCCGTTTTTATTTTATTTTTTTAAATTTTGAGAAAGGGTCTTACTAAGTTGCTGAGGCTGGCTTTGAACTTGAGATCGTCCTGCCTCAGCTTCCCAAACTGTTGGGATTACAGTTGTGCATCACCATGCCTGGCTCATAAAATTTTATATCAGTGGTAGAGCATTTGCCTGGCATGCGTGACGCCCTGGGTTCGATTCTCAGTGTCTCATATAAATAAATAAAAATAATAGGTCCATTGACAACTAAAAAATATTTTTAAAAAATATTATTTTGAGGCAGGATCCTGCCAAATTGGCAATGCAAGCCTTGAACTTTTAATTCTCCTGCCTTGGGGCTGGGATTGTAGCTCAGTGGTAGAGTGGTTGCCTAGCATGTGTGAAGCACTCGGTTCGATCCTCAGCACTTCATTACCACTAAAAATATTAAAACAATGATTAAAAAAATCTTAATTCTCTTGCCTTAGCTCTTGGAGTATTTAGAATTACAAGCATGCACTACATCCAGCTCCATCAGTGATTTCGTTTTCCAAATTTGCCAACATGATTTCATCCAGTAAAACAGAGTAGCTATAGTATCTTCTGCAGCAATATTGAAGATTTTCCTTGCAGAAGTATTATATAATATATATTTGGTCCAAGGATACTCAGTTATATTGACCTTAATGTGCAGTCAGGCCTCCATATCCATGGTTCTATCTCTGTAAATTTAACCAAATGCACACTGAAAATATTCAGAAAAAATTGCATTTCTATTGAATATGTATGGACTGTTTTTATAAACAATACAGTTTAACAACTATTTGCATGTTATTTATATTGTTTTAAGTATTATAGTAATCTAGAGATGACTTAAAATATATGGGCGGATGGGCGGATGTGCATAGGTTATATGCAAAATCTATACCATTTTATATAAGGTACTTAAGCACTTACAGATTTTGGTATCTGTGGCAGGGGCGGGGGAGGGGGTCCCCGGAATCAGTGGCAACTGGACACTGAGGGCAAATTGTAAAAGGAAAAATTTAAAACACAAGGGGGCCATCTTGTGGTGACTGTAGCAATTCAGAAAATTTCACAAAAGGTATCAGGCTATGAGGAAACTATTTATGTGGAAAGAAAAATCCATTTCTAGATAGACATTATATCAGGAGTACTGTTTGTAAACTCTTATAATTAAGATATAAAGCAATGTTTATATGTTCTACTTCATTTTCTCTATTTGGCAGATCCTTTTTTTATTTTTATTTTTTGGTACTGGGCATTGAACACAGGGGCACTCTACCACTGAGTCATATCCCCAGCCCTATTTTGCATTTTATTTAGAGACAGGGTCTCACTGAGTTGCTTAGTGCCTCGCTTTTGCTGAGGCTGGTTTTGAACTCGCAATCCTCCTGCCTCAGCCTCCTGAGCTGCTGGGGTTACAGGTGTGCGCCACCATGTCCGACTTGGTAGGTCCTTTTTTTTACAACATGATATCACTCTGTGTCCCTAGTAACAGATAATTTGATGCACCTCTCTTTCCCTTAGTAGTTATTCTTGGGAATCTTTAATTCTGGCCTCTGGTCAAGTGTTTATTGGAAAGATTTATATTTGCTACTTATTCTTTTTACCAAGGTTTAATATTCTATTTCATTTTTTATTTTAGGTGGTATAAATGCATAAGTACTGATTATTTTCTGGATCTAACTGGTTTATAACTTCAGAAGAAAAAATGGAAAACCAAGAATTTATTGTAAGTCTTACTAATTTTTACATTTTTTTTGTTTTTTTCCTCCTCCCTCCCTTGCTTTCTTCTTTCCCTCCTTCCTTCCTGACATTACTCAAATGTCTTGCTAGAGTTGCCAGTTTTATTTATTTATTTAAAAAAATATTTATTTATTTTTTTAGTTATTGGTGGACACGACATCTTTGTTTGTATGTGGTGCTGAGGATTGAACCCAGGCTGCATGCATGCCAGGCGAGCGCGCTACCGCTTGAGCCACATCCCCAGCCCAGAGTTGCCAGTTTTAGCAAACAAACAAAAAAAAAAAAACAAAACAAGAAACAAGACACCTAGTTATGTCTGAATTCAAATAAATAGTTTTCTAGTTATGTCTAAAATACTGCACTATTTTGATTATACAAAGCCTTCTGTAACATATTCTTTGGAAGCTTGGGGTCTGGGAAATAATTTGTTTCTCTTGATGACCTGATATGCCTCTTATGTCTAGATAGTGCTCCTCACATTATATGGTGTTAGGAACTTTTTATACTCTAGAAAAATAATTCAGACTCCAAAGAACTTTTGTATGTAGAGTTATTGTATGTTGATTTTTTTTTTTTTTTAATATTAGAAGTTAAAACAAGGCAGGCCTGGTGGCACATGCCTATAAACCCAGCTATAGACAGAATAAGGATGGAATGTGGAGAGCTGGGGATGTTGCTCAGCAATAAAGCTGGGTTCAGTGCCTGTATTGGGGGAAAAAGAGAGAAAGGAAGACAGAAGTTAAAACAGAAACAAAATACCTCTGAATTCATTAAAAGGTAATAATAATAAACTCATTACATGTTAACATAAAAAATGTTTTATTTTTTAAAATTTATTTATTTATTTATTTGGGGGTACCAGGGATTAAACTCAGGGGTACTTGACCATCCAGCCACATCCCCAGCCCCACCCCCCCTTTTTTTTTTTGGTACCAGGGATTGAACTCAGGGCACTTGACCAATGAGCCACATCCCCAGCCCTATTTTGTTTAGAGACAGGGTCTCACTCAGTTGCTTTACGCCTAGCTTTTTGCTGAGGCTGGCTTTGAACTGCAGTCTTCCTGCCTCAGCTCCCAGAGTCGCTAGGATTACAGGCATGTGCCACCGTGCCCGGCATGAATAGCATTTAAATTAAAAATACTTAATTTTTCTAGAACAAGAACAATTGCAGGAAAAAACATTGAGAAGACTAGTATTGTTATACATTTTTTTTGCAAATTTTTTAACATTTGATTTAGTAGAAAACAACTGGATTCTCTTTTTCTGCATTTGTTTAACAGTTTAATCTAGCAGCATTGCACATATATAACTTGAGAAACCCATTCCGCACCTACAGGCATAAGAATGGAAAGACAAAATCATTGTGAAAATAGTTTTGACCGCACAGATGCTTATAAAAGTCCTGGAGACCTCCACAAGTCTCTGAACCTCACTTGAAGAAGTGCATGAGGGTTTTTTTGTTTTGTTTTGTTTTTGTTTTCCAGTAGTGGGAATTGAATGCAGGTATATTACCACTGAGCTACAGAGCTACATCTCCAGGCTCTTTTTAAAAATTTTTTATTTTGAGACAGGGTCTCATTAAGTTGCTGAAGCTGTTCTCAAACTTAGCAATCCTATCTCAGCCTTCCAAGTCACCTGGGATTATAGTCATGCACCTCTGTGCCTAGCTTGGCTACAGGAATCTTGAGTACCCAGTAATTTTCCCCTTCCAACTGATTACTTGAAAGCTCAGAATTATTTTTGGTACTATTAATTTTTCAGTTTCTCCCTTATATTTTACCTGTTCTTTCTGCTTTTTATCATCTACCCCTCTAGCTAACTTTTTTTTTTCTTTCTTTAATTATTATGGTACTGGGGATTGAATCCAGGGCTTCACTCAGTCAGGCAAGCAATCTACCACTGAGCTATACCACCCAGAGAATACCACCCAGCCCCTCTTTTTTTTTTTTAAATAATATTTATTTTTTAGTTGTAGTTGGACACAAGACCTTTTTTTTTTATATATATGTGGTGCTGAGGATCAAGCCCATGGCCTCACACATGCTAGGTGAGCACTTTTACAGCTGAACCACAACCCCAGCCCCTCCTCTTTCTTTTTTTAACTCAAAAAAACAAAACTCAGGGCCTCATACATATTAAGCACATACTGTACCATTTAATTATACTCCCAGTCTCTTTCTTTCATTAATGTTGATATTGTTGTGATACTGCACTAATAAGAAAAAAGGTGTCTTAAATATTTTTTATGTGTGGGAAATGTATATAAAATATGTGACATTGAATATATAAAAAGAATCTGTTTCTTTTCTTTTGTACTTTGGAAATAAGGTCCTATATACTCATCAAAAGATGAAGAAATCAAAAGTGTGGCAAGATGGAATTCTGAAGATCACTCACTTAGGAAACAAAGTAAGTGCAGAGCAGTTGACTACAGAGTCTAAGAGCTAAGCTCTTGGTTTTTTATTGAATATTAAGAAAACTGTAGATGATGAAGTGTTAGGTATATCCATATACTAATAATGTGAAAACAGAAATTTTCAAATGATTTCCATATTGCAGTATGTAATTTTTTTTTTTTTTTTTTAATATTTATTTTTTAGTTTTCGGCGGACACAACATCTTTATTTGTATGTGGTGCTGAGGATCAAACCCGGGCCGCACGCATGCCAGGCGAGCGCGCTACCGCTTGAGCCACATCCCCAGCCCTGTAATTTGTACATTATAAAAGTTTAACAAGTATTATTTAGGACCTGGGGATATGGTTCAGTTGGTAGAGTGCTTTCCTAACATGCACAAGGCCCTGGATTCAATCCCCAGCACCACACACAAGCGCACGCACACACACACACACAGTAAAAGTATTAATTTGTTTGACTAAAAAAATTCATTAAATACTTACTGTGTCAGGCACAATGCTTTAAATATATTAACTTACTTAGTCTGCATAATTCTCCTAAGAATTACTTTTTTTTTGGTGCCAGGGTGTGAACTTAGAGGCACTCGATCACTGAGTCACATCCCCAGCCCTATTTTGTATTTGATTTAGAGACAGAGTCTCACTGAGTTGCTTAGCATCTGTTGGTGCTGAGGTTGGCTTTGAACTCGTGATCCTCCTGTCTCAACCTCAGCCTCCTGAGCCGCTGGGATAATAGGTGTGCACCACCGTGCCTGGCAAGAATTACTATTTTTTTTTTGGTGCTGGGGATTGAACTCAGGGCCTTGTGCATGCGAGGCAAGCACTTTACCAACTGAGCTATCTCCCCAGCCTCAAACTATTTTTAATTTTTATTTTAGTGAGGATAAAACCGAGGCACAGAGTGGTGAAGTAGCTTGCCCAAGGATCTCACAGCTTGAGAGTGGAGGAGTCATATTTAGGCTTTCTCGCTCAGAGCCCATGTTCTAACTGTCTCTATTAATATTATTTTTAAAATTTGTTCTAATTAGTTATACATGACAGCAGAATGCATTTTGACACATTGTACACAAATGGAGCACAGCTTCTCATTCCTCTGTCTCTACATGGTGCAGAGTCACACCAGTCATATAATCATACATGTATTAGGGTAATACTGTCTATTAATGTTATTAACTTAATAAAATGATTTTATTACAGTTGAATTGATGATAGTATATAATACATTTTTTATTCTTTTTAGATATACATGACAGTGTGTATTTTAACATATTATACATACATGGAGTATAACTTATTATATAATACATTGACTACCTCTGTGACCTCCTGAATGAAGTTCCTCCTCCTCAGTCTACCAGCTAACATCTCCATATTTCATCCTTATTCTATCAGTCATTGTGAGGTTTTCACTGAGGGAAGTTTTTCAGTAGAGGTTATTCACAATTCTTTTTAAAAATTAATGTTTTATTTATTTATTTTGGTACCAGGGATTGAACCCAGGGATGCTTTCCCACTGAGCCTCATCCCCAACCCTTTTTTATTTTGAGACTGTCTTGCTAAGTTACTAAGGGACTTGCTAAGTTGCTGAGGTTGGCTTTGAACTTGCAGTCCTCCTGTCTCAGCCTCCTGAGTTGCTGAGATTGTGGGTGGGCCTGAGCCACTGGTGTGGGCCTTGATTTTTCTTTCTTTAATGTTTTAGTTGTTGCTAACAAATTCTTTCCAAGTACTTAAGCCCTTATTGTAATTCTAATAGATTAAAATGAATACAGTTTCTCTTTTAATTTTTAATTTTTTTTTTTTTTTTTTTTTGTGGTGATGGGGCTTTGTGCCTGAAAGGTAAGCACTCTACTAACTGAGCTATATCTCCAGCCCCCCTTAAAGTCTTTTTAATATGCTATTTTTCCCTGTCACTGAGCTATATCCCCAGAGCTTTTTATTTTTATTTTTTAATTCTTTTTAATACATGACAGTAGAATGTACTTTGATATATTATATGTACATTGAGTATAACTTCCCATTCTTTTTTTTTGGCACCAGGGATTGAACTCAGGGGTACTCAACCACTGAGCCACATCCCCAGCCCTATTTTGTATTTTATTTAGAGACAGGGTCTCACTGAATTGCTTAGTGCCTCGCTGTTGCTGAGGCTGCTTTGAACTCACAAGGTCTCAGCCTTCTAGGCCACCAGGATTACAGGCATGCACTACCATGACTGGCAGCTTCCTATTCTTGTGGTTATACGTGAGTGGAGTTAACACTGGTCGTGTATTCATATATGAATATCAGAAAGTTATGTCCAATCATTCTATTGTCTTTCCTATTTTCATTCTTTCTCCCATTCCTTCATTAGCCTTTGTCTATCTAATGAACTTCTATTCTTCCCTCACAGAGCTTTTTTAAATTTTTATTTATTTTAAGACAAGGTTTTGCTAAGTTCCTGGCCTTGAATTTGTAATACTCCTATCTCAGTCTGCTGAGTTGCTTCACCACTCTGGTTTAATATTGTCATCCTAGTAAAATTTACTTACTCTTCCTTTCAATGAAAAAGTTGAGTGGGGTGGGTTATAGCACTGGAGCAGACACTTTTTTACCATATTCAAGGCCCTGGGTTCAACCACTATCATTGCAAAGTAAGTAAACAAATAACTACATAAGCTAGACTCAGTAGCACATACCTGTAATCCCAGTGGCTTGGGAGGCTGAGGCAGGAGGATTGCAAGTTCAAAACCATACTCAGCAATTTAGCAGGGCTGTTTTGAGACCCTGTCTCAAAACAAAAAATAAATATGACTAGTGCCTTTGGGTTCAATGCCCAGTAGCAAAAAACAAGAACAAAACAAAACAACAAAACTAAATAAAAAGTTGAATATTCAAAATCAACTTCTCAATTACACATTTTAAATTGAAATCATAAAGATAATCTGTTAGATGTATTTAAATTATAAACTGCCTAAAATGACACTTCCATTTCAAAATAAAAACTTTTTAAAATTAAAAGTAACAGAAGATATTTAAATATCAGATTATAATTTCCAACATCAGATTGCCTTGTTATTGAAACTATTTATGATCCTATTCTTGGTTTGAATTACTTTATTATTACTATATCCAGTTTAAAGGATTCAAGATTTTAAAGGTACTTTCCTATTGAATAAAGAAAATGTTTCTATCTCAGTAAATAGGGTTTTCATTATAAGAAAAGCCTGAGATTGCTAACATTTTGGGCTGGAACTTGAGACCTTGAGATATTGATAATCAGGGTAACTCTACCATCATCAAAGGAAATGCTGAAATTTGTGTTCAGTTGCAGTAACAACAGGATCTCAATCTGTGCTTTTTAAAAGGATTTGGTCTCAGAGTTGGTAATTTCTGTGTTTACGTCATATCATCAAAATTTTCCTCTTTGAATAAATGAATGTATGGTCCTGTCCACGTCTATATTTTTTTTAAATCCCTTGTACACACATACACATATAAAAATTTATTTATTTTTTTGTTTATATCCTTCTTGGATTGAAGGAATAGACTTTTTTAAAAAAATATTTATTTAGTTGTAGATGAACACTTAGTATCTTTTTTTATTTTTATGTGGTGCTGAGGATTGAACCCAGTGCATCACACATATGAAGCAAGCACTTTACCACTGAGCTACAGCCTCAGCCCTTGTTTATATCCTTCTTATTTGTTTAGAGCCAAAGCCTTCAAAATCTTAAAGATTTTTAACAATCTTCAAAATCTTAAAGAGAGATCTGACCGGAGCCAGGTGTGGTGGAACATGTCTGTAATCCCAGTGGCATGAGAGGCTGAAGGAGGAGAATTGGGATTTCCAAGTCAGCCTCAGCAATTTAACAATGTCCTAAAAGCTTGGTAAGACACTGTCTCAAAACAAACAAAGAAATAAAAAGGGCTGGGGGTGTGGCTCAGTAGTAAAAGGCCCTTTGGTTCAATCCTTGGTCCATTCCCAAAACAAAAAAAAGATAGATCTGTTTGGATTCTGCATATCATTCATAACTTTATGTTGTTGTTACTGGGGATTGAACCCAGAGGCACTTTTTGCCACTGAGCCATATCCCCAGGCCTTTTCATTTTTGAGACAGGGCCTCACTAAGTTGCTGAGGTTGGTTTTGAACTTGTGATCCTCCTGCTTCAGCCTCTTGAGTCATTGAGATTGCAGACATACACCACAGCGTCTGGCTCTTCATAACTTCTTCTGGTTCTAAATCATAATGTTATGGTCCTATTAGTACTATTATTGAACTTAACTATAGCATATAAGTACCCATTATAAACCTCATACAGGTTAGTTTACCAGAAAATAGAGAAATTCAAATTAGTTCCAGAAATTTAGGAAAAGTCCTAGGAAAGTTAATCATCTTACTGTAAATAGCACTATTTCAAATCCAACCTATTGCTTGTACTGTTTTCTTTTAGTAATGCCTTTTATCTAACTATTGAAATTGTCAGATATTTATTTTCTATTAATTGAGGCATCAATCAATAAATGTGTATTTATTGAAGCCAGTGGGAAAAGTAAAAAAATGTCACATGGAAGCAGAGTAGAAGAGAAGTTAACATCAAAAACAAATATACCCTAGTTTCAATCCTAGCCCTTCATTTAGTAGATTTGTAATCTTAGGCAAGTTATTTGGTTTCTCAATGCCTGTTCTGAGGGATGCAGCAGGGAACAAAACACATAAATCACTGATTTTGTAGAAATAACATGGAGGAGAGAGACCAGTAAATTAGATTAATATGTACGTCATGGATAAGACAAATAGGGAGGGTCTGGGGATGTGGCTCAAGCGGTAGCGCGCTCGCCTGGCATGCGTGCGGCCCGGGTTCGATCCTCAGCACCACATACAAACAAAGATGTTGTGTCCGCCGAAAACTAAAAAAAAAATAAATATTAAAATTCTCTCTCTCTCTTTAAAAAAAAAAAAAAGACAAATAGGGAGATCAGAGCTGTTGGAGTAGAGTGAACAAGGGCGAGAATGGAGATAAAGAGGGATTCTGTAAGCCTTATTTGCTATTATAGGGACTTGTTCTTAGGAAGCTATGGAGACATTAGAATTATTCAGAAAAAAATTTTTTAGTTGTTGATGGAACTTTATTTATTTTTATTTATTATATATGGTGCTGAGAATTGAACCCAGTGCCTCGCACAGTGAGTGGCAACCACTCTATCACTGAGCTACAACCCCAGCTCCTATTAGAATGATTTAAGCGGATGTGTAATAATATGTAATTTGTATGGATGATATTGCTCAGGGAGAAAATGTAGAATGAAAAGGATAAAGGAAGAAGAACAGAGTCCTTAAAAATATGAAATTTTCAGCAGTTTTAGACATATAACTTAAACATTTTAAAATTCACCCATTCAGTAATTTTTAGTATATTTATAATTTTTCAACCATCAGCACAATCTAAATTTATTACATTTTTTTCACCCCTAAAAGAAATCTCATATCCAGGAACAGTTACTGCTTACAACCTAAGTAGTGAGCCTACATCCCTAAGCAAATATGAATCTATTCATGGTCTTTATGAATTTGCCTATTCTGGACATTTCACAAGAATGAAATTATATAATCTTTTGTATATGACTATTTTATTTCGCTTAATATTTCCAAGTTTCATTTATGTTGAAGCATGTATCAATACTTTATTACTTTTTATTGGTGAATAGTATTCCTTTGTATATACATATTGTATCATGCTTTATCCATTCATCAGTTGATATACATTTGGGTTATTTCTACTGTCTACTATTATCAATAATGCTGCTGTGAACATTTGTGTGGAAATTTTTATGAACACATGTTTTTATGTCTTTTGAGCTATATACCTACAAGTGGAATTGCTGGGTCATATGATAACTTTATGTTTAATCTTTTAAGGAACTGCCAAACTGTTTTTCAAAGTGATGGAAATACCAATATTACAGGGGCTAGTAGAGAAATTACTAAGAGAAATGACTAGGGACAGAAAAGGAGCTAGAAGATGATGATTATCTTAGCTTCTTTTGTCTTCCTTAACCCTCACATTCAACAAATTTAATTCAGTGTCCCTCATAAACAACTCTATCCCCCATGACAGCATCTTATTTCAAGCCCTAATCTTCTCAGTTCTTCATAGAATACAGTAATCTTTTAATTGATCTTGTCTTCTGTTTGTGCCCTCTAATGTGTTCCAGTTCTGTTTTCCTTCCCAATTCAATTCCAAGATCCTCCTGGTAAGAATTAAATTCTTGAATTTTTTTTCCTTTCAGTTCCAAACCTCCCTTTTTCCACTGTAGTACGGGGCAATCAAACTCAGGTCTAGGCAAGCATTCTATCACTGAACCATAGCCCTAGCCCAAGTTCTTGATTTTTTTTTTTGGGTACAAGGGATTGAACTCAGGGGCACTCAACCACTGAGCCACATCCCCAGCCCTCTTTTGTATTTTATTTAGAGACAGGGTCTCACTGAGTTGCTTAGTGCCTCACCTTTGCTGAGGTGCTTTGAACCTGTGATCCTCCTATCTCATCCTTCCATGACACAGGGATTACAGGCGTGCCCCACCATACCTGGCCCAAGATCTTGAATTTCTTATGTGAATACCTTCATTCTCTTGTACAGACTCTGTAGGTGCATAATAAACATTGAAATATTCATTTCAAATCTAGTAAAATAAAATAATATAATCATTTCATTACATGGTTTACTTATAGCATTTTTCACAATATTCTCTATTTGATGTATTTTTGAAATTTGTTCTTACAAATAGGAAAACTATTTTTGTCTATGTATTTATGTATATTTTAATGTGTTCTAATTAGTTATACATGACAGTGGAATGCATTTTGACACATCATATGTAAGTAGAGTTTGACTTCTCATTCTTCTGGTTGTACATGATGTAGGGTTATACTGGTCTTTACTATTAAAGATATTTAAGAGAAGCAGAATTATATTCTATTCCTTTTTAATTCTTATTTTATTTTTACACAGGCAATTTTATATGATGACAAAGGAGTATGTTTGGAAAATCTATTTCTTAAGTGTCTTGAGGTATTTGAATGTGTTCATATTATTTTTAAGTAATTTAAAAATCTCTTTAAATATTTCCTTTATTAACATTATTAATAGTAGAGTCTTGGTACCAATACTAATAATGATAGGTGGTATTTGTTGAACATAAACTAAGAGTGCAACACAATTGTTTAGTGATTTACCCACATTCATATGTAGAGTTATGGTGGAAGGCTGAAATTCAAATTCAAGAAATGAATTTTTTTCCTTTTTTTTTTTTTTTTTTGTAAGAATAGGGCCTCACTATGTTGTCCAGGCTGGCCCTGAACTCCTCTTGGGCTTAATTGGTCTTACTGCCTTAGCCTCTTAAGTAGCGGGAATTATAAGGCACCCTACCCTCCACCACATCCAGTTACATGAATTTTTGATAGGCTTAGATTTACAGTGGGAAATATTTCACTGTGTTTTCACTGCTGTGACTAAAATAACTGACAAGAACAATTTTAAGGAGGGAAAGTTTATTTGGGGGCTCATGGTTTCAGAGGTCTCAGTTCATAATATAGCTGGCTCCATTCCTTAGGGCTCGAGGTAAGGCAGAACATCATGGCAAAAGAATGTGGCAGAGGGAAGCTGCTCACATGATGATCAGCAGGCAGAGAGAGACTAGGCTAAACTCACCAAATACATACTCCAAAGGCATGTCCCCAGTGTCTACCTCCTCCAGCCACACCCTACCAGCCTACAGTTAATTAATTCATCAACTGGGTTAAGTCTCTCATAACCCAATTATTTCACTTCTGAGTGTTCTTGGATTGTCTCACACAAGAGCTTTTGGTGGACACCTAGTATCCAAACCGTAACAAATATTTTGAGATTATTTCCATTTAAGTATTTTTTCAAGTATTAATTTTGTTTTTTTTCCTATTAGAAAAAGGAAAGGGAGGGAACTAAAGGTAAATTTTATCATAAAGGCTCTATTTGATGTATTTTTGAAATTTGTTCTTATAAATGGGAAAACTTTTTGTCTATGTATTTATGTATATTTTAATTTGTTCTAATTAGTTGTGGCTCAGAGGAAAAAGCTCTCGCCTAGCATGTGTGAGGCACTGGGTTTGATCCTCAGCACCATGTAAAAACTAAATAAAGGTATTGTGTCCACCTACAACTAAGGAATAAATGTTAAAAAAAAAAAATGAGTAAGAATATCAGACTTGGTTGTTCTGGGTTCGTTTCCTGCTTTCAGACACCTTCTAGCTAACTTAGCCTGACTCTAACTTCTCAACTGTGAAATTTAGGTCATAGACAGACTTTATGGGATTGGTTTGAAGATTAGAAATAAAGTACTTAGTAGTTCAGTACAGTGATTCTAAAGATGTTAAAATGCATATTTTTATTGTCATTATGTTGATATTTGGTCATTATATTTAATTCATTTTGGTATTTTATATGACCTTAATAGTGGTTGTACTTATTTTTTTTGGCGATACTGGGGATTGAACACAGAGGCACTTTACCATAGAGTTAAATCCCTATCCACCTTTATTATTATTATTATTTAAATTTTAAGGCAGGATCGCTCTAACTTGTCCAGATGGGACTTGAGTTTGTAATCCTTCTGCCCTCATCCTCCCAAATTGCTGGGATTATAGGTGGCACCACCAGGCCAGGTAGAGGAGTAGATTCCTTTTTTGTGTGTGTGGTACTGGGCATAGACACCAGGGACACTTTACCATCGAGTTACATCCCCACGTTTTAAAAATGTTTTTTGTTTGTTTTTGAGACAAGGTCTTGCTAAATTGCTAAGGGCCTCACTAAATTGCTGAGGTTGGACTCAAACTTGGTATTCTCCTGCCTCAGCCTCCTGAGTCACTGAGATTATAGGCATGTGCCACCATGTGGGCTGAGAAGATTATTTTAGTAGATGCTTAATTGATGGTTGTTATATCATCTTACATTATTTAATTAGTAAAAAATTAATCTGATAGATTTTGTATATTTTCAAACTAGGTTCATAATGTTATGCTTCAGTTAGAAGTGGTGGCAAGAGCTACATTTGTTCATTAAAGGGATTAAAAATACTTTTTTGGAATGTGATTATTTAAGCAACTAATAGTTTATAATTGTATTTATTTATTTATTTTTAGTTTTGGTACCGGGGAATGAACTCAGGTGCACTCGACCACTAAACCAAATCCCCAGCTCTGTTTTATATTTTATTAGAGACATGGTCTCACTGAGTTTCTTAGGGCCTTGCTAAGTTGCTGGGGCTGGCTTTGAACTCATAATACTCCTTCCTCAGCCTCCTGAGCTGCTGAGATTATAGGCGTGCACCATTGTACCCAGCTTCTCATTTAATTTTTAATTTAATTAAAAAAAATTTTTTTTTGCAGTATTGGGTGTTCAAGTAGCTGGTATTACAGGTGTGAGCCACCATGCCAGGCTAATTTACATTTATTTATAAAAATATATAATTAATAATTATAGCTTTAATTAAAATATTATGTATATTTAGTTGTATGAATTCTAAGTTAATTACTTGAGAGGAAGTTTTTTGTTTTTTGCTTGTCTTTGTATCCCTAGCATGTAACAGAGGACATTATGTAGGAACCCAGTATGTATTGTTGAATGAACAAATAAGTGGCATTGTTTTGTTGTATTATCTTTTTTTGTGGTTGGTAGTTAACTAGTGCACAATAATAAATAATTGAAGAATTTATTTACTGATTAATTCACCTAACTTCTATTTATTGAATATGTGTTTGTGTTGCTAAGTGCTAGTGAGTTTATTGAACACATATAGAATCAAATAATTAGATGTATGAGATTTTAACATATATTTATTTCTTTTTGTGGTGTTTGGGATCAAGTGCAGAGCTTTTCACATGCTAAGCAAGCTCTCTACCACTAAGCTACACCCCCAGCCCATTAACATTTATTTTTTAATATTTAGGTGAAACCTGGAGATGACTTAGAAAGCGAACGATACTTAATCACAGTTGAGGAGGTTAAAGTTTCTGGAAGCAAAACTATTAAACAGAATATCATTAAAGAAGCACCACAGTCAGATTCATGGAAGTTCATATCCTCTGGCCGGTCTCTTGGATGTCAGCCTGCTGGTTTAAAAAGAAAGTTTCCTGTAAGTTTCTCTGTGGAAAATAATACATCAATATATACTTATAAAATATTTCTGGGCTGGGGATATAGCTCATTTCGTAGAGTGCCTGCCTCACATGCACAAGGCCATGGGTTCAATTCCCAGCACCACATTAAAAAAAAAAAAATTTTTTTTCCAAAAGTAATGAATTTTAAAGTTATTGTACCCTATGGTACTTCATAATCTACTTATGTAGAAAAAAAATAAATCCTACAGAGAAAAATCTTGCTAACAAATGATTGTTTATATTTTAATTTAGCAAGCTTTAAATTTTATTATTTTACCTTAGACAAAGCACACACATTCCTTATTATTTTTCAGCCAGTTTATTTCACACTTTATTTATAGATAATGGTAGCACTAACAATTGTTTTAATATTTGTAGGGTTTTAAAGCACCACGTCAGGTCCCAGCGAAAATGATTGTTACAGAAAATGGTGAATCAGCTGCATCACTTGAGTCTAAGGAACCTGGCCATACTTTCTCTTCTCCATTCAACAGCATACCTTCTTTGTTTTCTACTGTTGGCAAGAAAGATATAAGTACTATACCAAGAGATCTCGAAAATATTGTTACTTATGAGAACAGAGAGAGAAATAGCATGCCTTTGTCTTCAGTTGTCTCTACTTCATCCTTCATGATTAACCCAGAAATGCTAGGGGAAAAAAATTATTTTTGTTCTCCTATCAGTACTGGAAGTCAGCATTCAGACTCTTCACTGAACAATGAGCCCCTAAGAAGAGACAATTTGGCATCTCACTATCTGAGAGTTTCACAAAATATTAGAAGTAAAGCCCAGATATTAGCTCTTTTGAAATCTAAGTCAACCAATATGCATAAGGACCTAAATTCTGAGATGACAAGACATTTACCTCAGGTACAGCCACAAGGAAGTTTAAACATTCCTGTGAACCCAAAGTGCTTAATTCAACCGGAAGCATGTGCTGAGATGAAGAGCACAGAAAATTTATATGACCAGCATCAATCAGAAAATACCATGAGAAATAAAAGCCGGTGGGCCATGTATTTATCCTCACAGAGTTCACCCGTACATTCCTCTGCTATAGGTGAGAGCGATGTAAAAAGGGAACCTAAATCTTGTGAGGATGATATGAGTTTGAATTTGAAAGACCTTTTGGTACAAAAAAGGATGCAGGACTTTGAAACGTGTGATGAAAAGGGAAATGAAATCCAGCTAGTAGATGATACCCATCAATCCTGGAATCAGGAAGAAAAAGTAGAAATACTTTCTTTCTGTGAAAGCAGCAGCTTACTGGGTAGTTGTAGCAGTGCAGACAATGATGGGTTATTATCAGAATCTTACATTCAAGGAAATAATAAAATACCTGTTAATCAAAGTGACAAGATGTGCTTGGAAGGATCAGTTTGCGTTGGAGAAAGTGCTCAGGTCGTAAATACAGGTAAAACACAACAGGAGCATAATCAACCAATGCCATCTCTGCTGGAATCAGAACATCTACAGATTGAATCTTCTATAAGTAACAATTCTAAGATCTCTGATGGCATTGCAGATGTGCTTTCTAAAAGTAGTAGTGATAGTGAAAGTCTAAATAATGTTCATGAATCTATAAGTAATGTAACAGAACCATTTTTAGAGATAAATTTTAATCTGAGCAATTTTGAGACCAGTGATACAGAAGAGGAATCACAGGAAAACAAAATTTCCCAGGATTCAGAGAGATGGGTAAAGGAAATTTTGTCTCACGATGGCAATTTATGTGTTCAAAAGAAAAGTGAGGATACAAGCTGTCAAGAAATTGGCAGTGTATGTTTGCCACTCTTAACATCTATTGATAGCAAACCTACAGAGATATTTCCTATTAAAGAGACTGTATCACAGTTTTGTGATAAAACTTGTGTGGGTTTTGACATGGGGCCTTATAAAGATAGAAACTCTGGAAAAGAAATAGAGGAAGAATATAGTAACACATTAAGCAATTTTGACTCATCTTTAGAATGGAATGATGATGTATATGTATATAATAAAGAAGATGCTAATAAATCTATCAAAAAAATTGGAATTAACTATGATTTTGCTTCACTTTCAGATAAGTCAAAAGGTATAAACATGAATTTACATTTTCCTCAAGTTTTAGACATAGTCACTAATCAGAGTCCTAAAAATGGTGCCCTATTCTCAGAAGATGTTCAACCTCAGACTTTTATTTTGGGAAGTGACTTAGACAAAAATGATGAGCAGATTTTACTCCCAGTTTCTAGCAGTGATGAAAGTATCCAACTATTAAATACCAATCAGGATCACTGTGAACATGTTACACTTGATAGATCAGATATCCAAGATTCTAATTATTTGTTTTATCCTCTGGGAAAAAAGCATTCTATTTTAAAAGACTATGAAGTATATATTCCTGAATCTGAAGACTTGGGAAGAATTAGAAAGTTACCCCAAGACCATGTTGAAGTTGCAATTGCCAGAAAAAGCAAACAATCCTGGAATAATTCTAGAAATTCTTCAGAACTTTCTGGTGTAATAAATAACATTTCTCTTTTAAAGTCACTGTCTGAACACAGTACAGCTTTAGAAAGCTTGGAAACACTGAAAAACAAAAATACTGGCTTTCAACAACAAAGAATTCAGCAGACATATGATCCAGATTGCAGTCCTGAAGGTTAGAATGATGTATTTGTTTTGGATCTTTCTCTTTGTAGCTAGAAGGATGAGAAGATATTTGCTTTCTGCTACTTTAAAGAACTACATAGTCTTTTAAGTAGACAGTACATGTACTTGGTAAAACCAATTCTAATAGAGGATAATATAAGAAAAATTAAGTGTCCTTTTTGTCACCATACCTCAATCCATTTCTCAGAATTAGCTGCAGTCTCTTAGGCTACACTTGGAGAAATACTCTGTATGGTTTGTGTGTATATTGGCACATGTAAATGAATGTATATACAGGTTAGGCTTTCTATGTTTTGGGGAGGGGGTACTAGGAATTGAATCCAGGGCCTTGTACATGCTAAGCAAGTGACTCTACCACGGAGTTTTATCCCCAGCTTTTTAAAAACTATTATTTTGAAACAGAGTCTCTAAATTGTACAGCCTGACCTCAAGCTTGACATTTGCCTGTCCTGAGTTGTATGTGCCACTGCATCTAGCAGGTTAAACATTCTTAATCTGAAAATGTTGTGCTTAAATACATAAACCTTTATATATTTATACCTTTATTCCTGGTTCTACACCACAGTATTCTTCTCTTCCCTCCATTGTATAATTTATGTTTCTTTATTCCCATAGTATGAAAGAACCCTAGCTCTTAAGACATCTATATTTACTTACACAGTTTACAGTATACACCAGATTGTCCATATTAGCATACCAATATCACTTCTACTAAGAGCCTTTACAAATTTGTGAAGTTCACAGATCTTGTCTGAATCACTTTTAAATATAGATGCAATTGAGCATGTTTTCTTATATTCAAGCATTATTTTGTTCTCTTCGCATTATGTTTTTTATCTTTTGCTTTTGGTGGTACTGGGGATTGAATCCAGGGATTTGCACATTTCAGCATACTCTCTACTACTGAGTTACATTCCTAGCCCTTTCTAAGAATTTTATTTAAATCCTTAGCTTCCTGATTAGCTGGGGTTACAGATGTGTACCACCATGCCTGGCTGAAAGTTATTTATATATTAGATGTATTAACCAGTTATGATATTTGTTGCAAATATTTTTTTCAGTATGTCATTGATCTTTTGCCTTTTCTTATGATATGTTGTCAACAGCCTTGTCCTTTTTAAGAATGTAATGATAAATAATTATGCATATGAATGTAAATGAACAATGCAGTTTATGATATTCTCAAAGTTAAAATTGAACCCTTCTTTGAATATCCCAAGTAATTCCTGAGAAAAGTATAAATAAATTATTGTATCCACTAAAGTGATTCTTTGAAATGTAGTTAAATTTGATAATGTTACAGTTTATTTATGTATTTTTGGTAGTGGGGATTGATCCCAGGGGTGCTTTTTTTTTTTTTTAATTTTGAGACAGGATATTACTAGATTGCTTCAGGCCTCTCTGTTGTTGAGGCTGGCCTTAAACTTGTGATCCTTTTGCCTTAGCCTCTGAGTCACTGAGATTACAGCTGTACACTACCACATCAGCATAGTTTATTTTCTAAAAAGCTAATAATAAGGAAAAATCTTTAATGAAAATAAATATGGGTAATACATAATGCTATATAAGAATGTAAAATTTTAATATTAAGATTTAGAAATTATAAAATTTAGTTTTGGAAAAAACTACTCTTTTCTCTGATCAAGTTGGAAGAGGATTAGTTGATTCTCATTGTTTGCAATAATTATGTTCTGTGAAGTCATTACAAATCCCAAACTAGTGATGTACTCCTATGGGAAATGCAAGCCTTTGGTCAAAACATTTTTTGTGAACTCATCAACATATAACTTATGTGTGTTTCTGTTTAAAGACAGAAATTATCTAGTATATATTGTTGATTCATTGATACTGGACTCACAAATAGTGCTAATTCATGTCTGAATAAAACTTAATCTAATACATTTATTTTCTTCACAACAGTCATCATAGCCTTCTTACAAAGACAGCACTCTTCTTAGGGGACATTTTAAATATGAAGTCACCAATAAAAAAGCACACAAATGCAAGAATATGGCACTAAATAGACCACCATAAAGATACTTGTTTACAGTAAGAGCTAAGACAAGGCTACGTGTTGCCTTTTGGGGAATGTGCCCTTTAAGCAGCTCAGTTTTTGCTGCTCAGTGCTTGTCTGAATGACTATGAAAGCACTATGAGTATTGATTTTAGGGTTACAAGTAAACTTTAGGGAGTTGGCAGAATCCATGAGGATTGACTTTTTTTTTAACAAGTGTCTTTGTACAAATTATCTAAAAAATGAATAAGTTGGTTTTCTTCATAAAATTTGAGAGAATCAAATTCATTGGAGCTTAACAATAATCATGAAGCTTAATACAAAATTAGGGAAGAATCAATTTTACCACTAATTTGGTAGGTGTGAATTTTTTTTTTCTTTTTTGTACTGTTAATTTAACCCAAGGGCACTCTACCACTGAGCTGTATCCCCAGCCTTTTTTCAGTTTTGAGACAGTATCTTACTAAATTGTCTAAGCTGGCCTGGAACTTGTGATCCTCTTGCTTCGGTCTCCTGAGGTAGGATTTGGGTACACTGCATTCCTGTGACTTTTTTTTTTTTTTTCCTGGTATTGGTGATTGAACCGTGGGGGTGTTCCACCATTGAGCTTACATCCCCAGCCCTTTTTATTTTGGTATGGGGGATTAGACTCAGGGCCATTTGACCACTGAGCCACATCCCCCCAGCTCATTTTATATTTTATTTAGACACAGGGTCTCACGGAGTTGCTTAGCACCTCGCTTTTTGCTGAGGCTGGCTTTGAATTCTTGCTCCTCCTGCCTCAGTCTCCTGAGCTGCTGGGATTACAGGTGTGTGCCACTGTGCATGGCTTCCAACCCTTTAAAAAAAAAATTATTTAGAGACAGTTTTGCTAAATTGCTCAGGTTGAATTCTCCTACTCTAGTCTCCCAAGTAGCTGACAATACAGGTACACACTGGACCAGCTTCAAGGCATTTTGTCTTGTTCATTGCTGTTTCCCCAGTGTTGGCACGCTGCTCTTAGAAACTAATCATTGCGCATCCTTGATGGCGCAGTCCTATAATCCCAGTGATTACGGAGGAGCCTCAGCAATTTAGGGAAACCTTAAACAATTTAGTGAGACCCTGTCTCAAAATAAAAATAAAAAGTCTTGGGGATTCAGTGGTAAAGCACCTCTGGGTTCAATTTTGGTACAAAAAAAAAAAAATTAAATGAATAAATTATTTTTTCTGTGCCATAGTAGGGAATTTAAGATAGACTTAGAAATACCATTAGGTGCTCTGTTCCTTCTCTATGGTAATACAGTGCAACCATATGATGGTTATCTTGACTTTAATGCTCTTTATAATTGGTCAATATTTCATTTTGCACATTTTTATTTATTTTTTTTCTCAAAAAAAAACTCAGCATTTTATTTTGGATTATTAAAAAAAAAAAAGCAACAATTACTGACAAGCATATGATACAATGCCAGGTAAGAGTAACCTCATTTTCTCACACATCAAAAGAAACAGCAGAAGGAAATTAACAAAATTCTACTACATACATACCCAGTGAATTCCACCTTTATGTATATCTGTAAACCACCAATTTTAAAAAATCTAGTAATTATTTTAAGTCTTTAATATAGATCTATTTTTCCAACTACATTTAGTAATGAATTCATTTTCCAGGGATTGGAATCTCCTTGTCTAACAAGTGACACACATCCCATTGTAGAAAGTAAACTGAAGTTAGACTAGTTTTATACCACTATTGTATAGAAAACAAAAGCTAAGTGGGAGATTAGGCTGTATTACTTCAAGGAAGCCACTACTTTTTAATTCAAAAGGCATAATATTTATTTTTGACCAAAAAGTAAAGTTATTTAAGTAGTAGACATACTATGAAACAGTTAACTGAAATGATTTGAAAATAAAAAATCTTTTATCTTAACATAGTTTTAGATTACCTTGTGACAAGATAGGATTTTTTTTTGTACTGTGGATTGAACTCAGGGATACTCAAGCACTGAGCCACATTTCCAGCCCTATTTTGTATTTTTATTAGAGACAGGGTCTCACTGAGTTTCTTAGCACCTCGCTTTTTGCTGAGGCTGGCTTTGAACTTTCATTTTGCACATTTTTAATATAGGTGATTAGCTTTTAGCTTAGTATTTATTTTTTAATTAGTTTGAAAAAAACATAAAAGTACAAGGAGACATTCCTACTGTTAACTTAGAAAGTAACAAAAGAGGCTATTATTCTAAATATTTTTTAATTTTTATCATGAAAATATTCCAACCGTCACCGAATAGTACACTGAATCCTTAAATACTCCAAATCTGGATTAAACAATTATCAAAACTTTGCTTCATCTTGAATTTCTTATGTTCTTTATTTCTTTAAGTCTTAGAAATAAGTTTAAATATTTTTAGATCAATATGGATGCATGTGATGCATAAAATTGTTTTTATTTTATCCATTACAGCTAGGAAACCATTTGCTATAGGAGTTTCACAAACAATACCAAAGTCTCCTGATCAGAAGCAGGATTCTCAACAGGTACCTATATGTATTTTTTTTAATGGCTGTATTTGTAATAGAATTGTAGTAAAACAGAGTACCAAGCTATCTTGGTTTGTAATCACTGTGTAGCTCAGTAATTTTTTCATTTATTTCCTCAGTCAAAAGAAATACCTAACAAGTGCATTTATTAAGTAGTTAGTATCATTAAACACTAAGTATTTAAGTTCTAGTAATTTAGTAAGCATTTTATTTTAAAATAAACACAGCTACTAATGGAATGTTTGCCCCTGTTGGGCACTACACAGTTTCTCTAACCTTGGAATAGATTATATGACAAATTGATTTTTCTCATGATAATTGCTTTTTTATCATAACAGTTTCTGAAACAGCATCACAGAGAGCTGATGTTGAAATTGAACTACATTGAATTTGTTCCTTTCATGTCTGACAGATGTTCAGTGATGTTGTATTTACTTAAGTATAAAATAACTTGTGGGACTATGGATGTGGCCCAGTGGTAGAGTGATTGCTGAGCACATGAGGCCCTGGGTTTTATCCCCAGCACTATGCACACAAAGAAAAAAAAAAAAAAAAGAAAAAAAATCTCATGGAACTCCTGTGAGTTTACTGTGCTGTGGTTTTCTAAAATACCTTGTTGCATAGTTTAGGAACCATGATAGCAGTTTCAGAAATAATAGTACCAGTTAGGGTAAATTAAAATTCTAAAATAAATGTTTTAGAATAAAACAAAGTGTTTCTCAATGGGGATGCACTTTGCATTTTTGGAGGGACAAGTCTTTCTTTATATGGCAGACATTTTTAGAAGAAAAGAAATGAATGTTTCATTTGCCCTCATTTTATATTTTACTTTATTTTCCATGTTACTGATCCATATTTTCCCTATTTAAAAATCTTGATATTTCTCTTTTTTAAATACAGAAAACAGCGAAGAAAAAACTAAATTTGTACCACTTCCAGAGATGATGATTATTATCATTTCCAGCTTTTTTGTGTGTCCATTTAAAAAAATACAGTTAGATAAATAAATCCTTGATGTCATTTTGTAGCATCTTACATTACTAAAAAATCTTCTTAAATATACATTTTAAAGGTTACTAATTATTCCATTGTATGGATTTCCTATCCTTTAAACAGACTGTTCACTGGTTTGGACATTTAGATTTTTTCTAGCATTTTGCTAGTAATAAATAACACTTCACTGAGGATGAGGGGGATTAAATGAACTCTAGATAGGGCAAAGGGGAAAAGGGGAGGGAAGGTAAGGGAGGGGCATAGGGGTAGGAAAGATGGTAGAATGCGATGGTCATCATTAACCTAAGTACATGTAAGAAGAGACAAAGGATGTGACTCTATTTTGTGTACAACCAGAGATAAGAAAAATTGTGCTCTATATGTATAATATGAATTGTAATGCATTCTGTTGTCATATGTAACAAATCAAAATAAAAAAAAAATTACAAAAAAAGGGAGTTTGTGGTGAGCAGTAGAAATAAGAATAGAAGTTAAAGGCCTAGATTAGATCCAAAGCAATACTGTAGATCCAGAATAAGCCTCTTGTGGGTAAGAGTACCGTTCAAAAAATTGGAGCATAAAAGATGATAGTATTTGTATTTTATGTAGTTTCTGGTGGTGAGGTGGGAGAAAAGGTTATTAGGGTACATGACTAAAGACAAGGAGATTATCAGAGGACACCATTTATACTTATAAACATATTAAGTGGAGACTATAATGATGATAACAATATTGGTATTTATAATATACATGAAGTATTTACTAGATACTCTTCTAATCTTTACACTTATAAAATGTATTTAATATTTATCCCTTGGAACAATATTATGAAGTAGGTATTATTATTAGTTCAACTTTACACCAAGAATAAAGAAATGCAATTTCTTCTTTTTTAAAAAAAAATTATTTTTTTATTGTAGTTGAACACAATACCTTTTAAGTAAATTTTTTTATTTATATATGACAGCAAAATGCATTACAATTCTTATTACATATATAGAGCACATTTTTTCATATCTCTGATTGTATACATAGTATATTTGCATCAATTCATGTCTTCATACATGTACTTTGCATAGCAATTTCTTCTTTTTACTTCTAATTTTTAATTTTTAGCTGCTCTGGCAAAAGGGTTTATGAAGGAGAAGGTTGGTTGATACTCATTGTCTGTCTTCCATTGTATTAGATCATTGATAATGTCTTAGGATAGAAGAGTAAAGAGTACAGCAATTCTAAAGAGGAATGATAGTCTTTAGGCAGCACCTCATGACCATGTTCCTCATTTTTCTACAGTTCTATCATCTATTCATATGACTTTTATAAATTATTAATTATTAATAATGCATACCTTGTCTATTAAAAAATTTGAAATAAAGTGTTCTATATCTTCAAAAATAAATAAATAACATTTCACAAAACATTTCTGGTGTGCACTTTAAGTTCTTTCCTTGGATTTATTCCTAGAAATGGAATTAGTTAGTTAGAAGGCTGGAAACAACTTTCTTAGTTTCTTCATATTGTCAAATATGAAAATCTTGAATGTTTTACAATTAGAATATTTATTTCCACTTCATTTACTGTGAAAGAATTTAAAATTTTTGCTAAGTGAAAATACCGTTTACCAACATTTTGGTTTTTATTTATTGTTAATGGTGTTATTTTGCATTTCTTATGCTCATAGAAAATTGTATTTTTTTGGTAAATTATTATTGCCTTTAATTAATCTTATGTTATTATTCTATTTCTAAGATATTAAAAGAAGATGAAGTTGAGCCAAGTGAACCATTTCGGTCTCTGCAGGTGAGTTATCTTTTATAATGTAAAACAGCCAGAAATTATACACACACACACACACACACACACACGTATATATGTATGTATATATACAACACATATGTTTTTTTGTATTTTTTTTCTCTGTGGGTACTGGGGATTGAACTCAGGGACACACACACACACACACACACACACACGTATATTTTTTCCCCCTGTGGTACTGGGAATTGAATCCAGGATTTTGTGTTGGCTAGGCAAGCTCTCTGCCACTGGCTACATCCCCAACTTCAGAAATTATATTTGTATAGTAGGTATAGCATATATTTTAAGTTTGCATTATATGTTTTCAGTGTTCAAATTCATTTGTAATTAATTACCCTTTACTTGTTAGATGAACCTGCTGCCTTTTGTATAAAGGTTCCACATAATCAGTACATTTGGTTAAATAACAAATTCACAAAGTTACTTTTATAAGCATTGTGAATTTTGTTAATAATCGCACCTGCAGCTCACTTGCTTAAAGCAGAACAAGCAAAACAAAAACATTTGTGTTTTGGTGACTTACCATTTTTTGTTCGCCTTTATATAACAAGATAAATGTATAAAATCTTGAACAACTAGCAACTAGTAATTTAGCTAACAAATGATAACATGCTTATTTTTTTCCCTTGAAAAAATAGTTTTAAATCTTTTCAAGGAGTTTTACAAAGTATAAACTGCATATAAACACTATCACTATTTTTCCCATGAATGAGTTTCCATTTAAAATAAATATATCACATTTAAAAAAATCTGTAGTGATCTAGTAATAATGAAAAAGATCTTACAGTCTTTCACAGCAAAAAAAAAAAAAAATTAATCTGTTTTTAGAATTTAAATAGAAGTTCATTTTTTTTTTTTCTGGGTACTAGGGATTGAACTCAGGGACAATCTGCTGCTGAGCCACATCCCCAGCCCTATTTTGTATTTTATTTAGAGACAGGGTCTCACTGAGTTGCTTAGCACCTCACTTTTGCTGAGGCTGGCTTTAAGCTCGGGATCCTCCTATCTCAGCCTTTTGACCCACTGGGATTATAGACATGTGTCACTGGGCCCAGCTTCATTTGTATTTTTTAATGACTCTTATTACAGCTGTCTGAAAATAACATTTTCATGTATGTTCGTGATAGAAGGAACTTTTAAAACTTGATTCTTTTCAAAGATACACTTATTGCCACCTCTTTATTTCTATATAATTGGCTACACATAGTAATGGAGCTGTTTCATCAGAGAAAGTACTATGCTGATTTCTAAAATTCACTATGTCAATTGATTCAGCCATAAAGAAGAATGAAATTATGTCATTTGCAGGAAAATAGATGGAACTTGAGAACATTATGTTAAGTCACATGAGTCAAAATCAAGGGTGGTATATTTTCTCTTACATATAGAAACTATAGAGAAGGAGATGAAAAAGGAAGAGAAAGATGTGGGGTGAATCTCATGAAAATTGAAGAGAGATCAGTAGAGAAGAGGGAAAAAGTAGAGAAGAGGGGGAAAGAGGAAGGGAGGGTAAGGGGAAATACTGGGGAATGATATTGGCTAAATTATATTACATTTTGTGTGCATGTATGGATATGTTACAATGAATCCCATCATTATGTATAATTATAATGTACCAGTTAAAAATATGGAAAAAGTAAAATAAAAAATAAATAAAATTCACTGTCAGAAAATTCTGATTCTAAAATGTAATTGAATATTTTTAAGAACTACTCTTTTGGCAATTGTGCTTATCTTTGTGTTAGCAAAGAAGAGTGACCATTATTTGAAAAAACACATTATTTAACCTATTCTATTGAAAAAATGTTTTCTCTGTTTGTGTGGCAGTAGGGGTTGAACCCAGGAGTACTCTACCACTTAACTACATTCCCAGACCTTTTCATTTTTTAGTTTTGAGACAGGCTGGCCTGGAATTTGTGATCCTACTTCTGAGTAGCTGGGATGATAGGCATGTACCATGGTTCCTGGTAGGATCATACTAATTTTTAAATTAAATGATCCATATTATCATAGTAGTAGGTTTGATAGGTAACTTATTATATACTTAATAATTCTTTATAGGATTAATAGATTTAATTAAAAATTTAAGACCAGACTTTTGTAATATGCTGAGTTTTAAAATTAATTGGCAAAGTATCTTATCTGTTAGAACCTTTTTTTTTTTTTTTTTTTTGCCAGGGATAGTTTGTATTTTCAAAGAAAAAAAACTTAGCATTAAGTTAGGTAAGTATTTTACCATCAAAATTATGAACCACCTGCAGAACTAGTCTACTAAGCTAGATAAATAACTAGAACTTACTGATATTTTATCTTAGTTCTTTTCCTTGGGAAGTGAAGAAGAGATTGCATTTCTAGCTGTTATTCCTAAACAAATAGAAAGAAAAACCTGTGACCCTAGGTAAAATTTGTGAAGAACATTGATTTGTGTAACTCTGTCTTTTCCCGGTGTGTGTGTGTGTGTGTGTGTGTGTGTGTGTGTGTTAAGCAGGTATTAATTTTTATAGGCAGATTAGTGGACATAATAAATTAGCCTGATTTTAATAATAAAAGACTATTTAATGATTCCTTGGCTGCCTCCTTTTTTTTGTCTTGAACCTTCTCTGTAATATTAATGAGCTAATAATACAGTGTAAGCAGTATCCATAAATATATACTAGGGGATGAACCTAAGGCTAGGTACAGTACATTAAGGCTTTTCTATGACATACAAAACAAGAATCTTTAACATATAGTCCACTCTTCCACTTCTACTTTTGACTGGATATATAGATACATGTAGTCCAAGCTCTAAAAGTAGTGTACCTTCTCTACATCAAAAATATGCAGAAACAGGCCAGGCATGGTGACATACACCGGTAATTCAGGCTATTCTTGAGACTGAGCCGGAGAATTAAAAGTTTGAGGCCAGCTTCAGCAACTTAGCAAGACCCTCTCTCAAAGTAAAAAATAAAAAGAGTTGGGGATATAGCTTAATTTTAAAGTGACAATCCCCAGTACTGGGGGAAAAATAGCAGCAACAATAGCATGTAAAGGATTGGGTTTCAAAATAGTGTACTTTCTAAAAACTCTGAAAGAGATCTGTATGGCAACATAGTAGACAAAGCAACTGTTTCCTTGTGGGGAATGGATATTCCCCATCAAACAAAGCAGAACTATTCAGGATTTTTAACAGTTGTAACATGTATGTTTTTAAATTCAGAAGAATATCTCAACAAAAACACTATATAAAAGGGCATTTAGCTTTGATTTTCCTTCTTTTTTTTTTTTTTTAATGTGGTGCTGAGGATTGAACTCAGTGCCTCCCATGTATGAGGCAAGCGTTCTACTGCTGAGCTAAAACCCTGATTTTCCTTTTAAATTGTGATTCGAATGTTCATTTTTGAATAACAGTATACTTAGATTATGTATTATTGTTATTTTGTTAATTCATTGTTAGAAATAACTGAACTCTTCATGGACATTTCTTTGGCCCCATTAGCAATTTTCACATACATTCTGGGTGGGTTTGTTACTGTTTGGAGTAAAAATTGCTAACACCCTCAGGAGGGCAGCAGAGAGTTATTTGAAGCTTTGCATACAATTCTGAAGAGATCAAAGACTCTGAGAATCAAGTCTCCATTGGAATCATACTCTTAAGCCTTTGCTCTGAGAGCAGTAAGACTGGATCTTCTGCTGGATGCAGGGTACAAACTTTTCATCTTATAGTGAAGCCTGATAGTCTACAAATCCATCAAGCAAAGGAAAATATTTCTGTGTTTCTTCTCTTTCTTCCCTTTCTATTATTATATGTTTGATTGCTCCCTGTATGCTAAGCATTATAAATGCAGGTTACACCTAGATAAAGCAAAAAAGGTCTTTGCTCTCAATAGAGTATATTAATATACAGATGCAGAAAAACTTCACTGTAGTATATAACATGTATACGTTATATATAATGTGTTATATATAATGTGTGTGTGTTGCATATTTGTGTGATGTATAGTGAAACAGAGAGAAAGAAATAGTCTCTCTGGCTTAGTTAGCCATTCTCATCATTATACTCTATAATAATGAAAAATTCATACTTATTGATGTAGTTTTAAATCTATGTGTAAATTTAAATTTACTTGAATGTAGTTTTAAATCTACGCTCTTTAAATTAGCTATCCTTAACATTTGTTTTAGAGTAATGAGTATATCCTAATTTTTAAAATTAGTCCTCTCTAGTACTTATTTACATAGAGAATATTTAATAAAAATCTGAGTTATATGTTGTTATCTGTGTAAATACATTGTGAATATATATGTTGATATATACTTATTCTTAACAATTTACCTATAGCCTGTTGAGTTTCAAGGACACCAACTGAAAGGATCAGCTACTAGTGGTGTAATGGTCAGAGGACAGAGCTCACAGCTAGTATACAGCCAGTTTCCAGGTAGCATGGAATATCAAAACTTCATGCCAGATACTTGTTTTTTGACACCAGAGTTGCTTAGCACTTGTATGCAGACTGACTTCTTGCAGGTAAAGATATTTTTATGGTTGTATTTTGGCAAATTATTTTATTTATGTCAATATTATTTTATAAAGAGATTATAGTTAAATCTTTGTACAAAAGAAGTACAAGATGGGCTGGGGTTGTAGCTCAGTGGTAGAGCGCTTGCCTTGCATGCATGAGGCCCTGGGTTCGGTCCCCAGCACCACATAAAAATAAACAAATAAAAATGAAGATATTGTATCCATCTACAACTAAAAAAATATATTAAAAAGAAAAAGAAGTACAGCAGGGCTGGGGTTATGGCTCAGTGGTAGAGTGCTCGCCTAGCATGTGTGAGGCACTGGGTTTGATCCTCAGCACATTAAAAAAATAAATAAACAAAGGTATTGTGTCCATCTACAACTAAAAAAGAAATTAAAAGAAAAAAAAAAAAAAGAAGTACTAGTAGTAGTACAGGAGTATATTGACAGGAACCATAAATCAAAGATGGAGTTTCTGTTTTTCAATCTGTCTGTTTTTTGACAGATGAATAAATTAGAGTATTCTATATTGAAAAAGAAACTTATGCCCATTTGTTTTATTTCTTACTACTTTCACAAATACCAGTTATGGTTATATGTTAAATATCCTAAGTCTATAAAAAAAATGTTTTCAAGCAAAATAACTAAAGCTGCCAAGAGAGATAAGTGCCTTCTTAAATATGTGTGATGTATTACTAACATATAGCAGTCTCTGAACTTGAAAAAATATTCTGTGTTTCATCAAATTCTAAGATACTATCATTTTTTAAAAAAAATATCTTTTATTTTTATTTGTTTATTTATATGGGGTACTGGGGATTAAACCCAGGACCTCATGCATGCGGGGCAAGTGCTCTACCACTGAGCTTCAACCCCAGCCCCAAAATACTATCGTTTTAAGACTCTATCATTATATGGCACTCAGAAGAAAAGTAGTCAGTTAAACATTATAGAATACCTTATTACTTCAACTTTTTTTTTTTTTTGGTGGTGCTGAGGTTTGAACCCAGGGCCTTGTGTATGTGAGGCAAGCACTCTACCACCTGAGCTATATTCCCAGCCCTTATTTAGACTTTGAAAAACATTAAAATAACCTTTTTATTGTGGCAAAAACATATATCATAAAATTTATCATATTAACCACTTTTTTCCAGTTTTAGATTTTTAAATTATTTCATTTTATATAATTATTTGCTATGCCTTTCTTTTTATTTCTTTATTTTTTTGGTATTACTGGGGATTAAACCCAGGGCCTCATGTGTGATAGGCAGGTGCTCTATCACTGAGCTACATCCCCATCCCTTTTTATTTAGAGATAGGGTGTCACTGAATTTCTTAGGCTTGTATTGAACTTTCTCTTCTCCTGCCCCAGCCTCCTAATTAGCTGGGATTGCATGCCTATACCACTGCATCTGGCCATATTAACCATTTTTAAGTATACAATTCAGTGGTAGTAAGCATATTTTCATTGTTTAAAAACAGATCTCTAAAACTTCTTCATCTTCACTTAGACTTATTTTTGATTCATTTTTGAAAATGTATTTTTATTTATAATTGACATTATACATATTTATGGGGTTTGGCGTTACATTTCATTACATGTATACGATATATAATGAGTAATTATCATATCTGTCATCTCAGACATTTATCACTTCTTTGTGTTAGAAGCATTCAGAATCTTACTAGCTATTTGAAATATTCAATTAATTTGTCTATTATCATCATCTGTGTTATAGAATATTAGAAATTATTTCTCCTGTCTAGCTGTACCTCTGTACACGTTAGCCATCCTCTCATCATCTCCCCTTTTCTCTCCCCCAAACCCTTCCCAAGCTCTGGTAACCACTATTGCATTCTCTAATTCTATAAAATAAATGTTTCAGTTTCCATATAAGTGAAAATGTGTGCTATTTGTTTTTCTGTACCTGACTTCTTTCACTTAACATAATGTCCTCCAGTTCTATCCATATTACTGCAAATGATGGAATTTCATCATTTATTATGGCTGAAAATATTCCATTGTGTGAGTACACCAGAGTTTCCTTATCCATCCATCCATCAGTATATACCTATCTTGGCTATCATGAATAGTGCTGCAGTACTTAGGGAGTACAGATGTTTCTTTGACATAATGATTTCAATTCCTTTTTCTGTATACCCAGTAATAGGATCACTGGGTTATCTCATAGTTCTGTTCTAATATTTTTCATAATAGTTTTACTAATTGACATTCCCACTAACAGTGGATAAGAGTTCCCCTTTGCATCCTTCTAGCATTTGTGTGTGTGTGTGTGTGTGTGTGTGTGTTTCTGTAATGGCCCTTCTAACTGGGGCAAAGATGATATGCCATTGTGGTTTTGATTTTTGTTTTCCTGATGGTTAATAAAGTTGAGGATTTTTTCATATACCTGTTGGCCATTTGGATTATTATTTTTTTTTAAAGAAATGTCTATTCAGATTATTTACCCATTTTAAAATCAGATTATTTTACTTTTTGCTGTTGAGTAATATATTCTTGATATTAATCCCTTGTTGAATAAATAGTTTGTTTATATTTTTTTCCATTCTGTAGGTTTTCTCTTCACTCTCTTGTTTCCTTTACTGTGAAGAAGCTTTTTGATTTGATATAACCCCATTTGTCAGTTTTTTCTTTTGTTGCCTATGCTTTTAGGGTCATATCCAAAAAAAACTTTGCCCAAACCAATGTTCCACAATGTTTCCCATTTTATTTTACCAGTTGCATAGTTTTTAGTTTCTTTCTTCTGTATATGGATATCCATTTTCCTGCATCATTTTTTGAAGAGACTTTCCTAAGATTGAGGTCAAAGTTCCAGATGACTCAATTTCTGGTGAGGACCTCTTCATGCCTTGCAGATGGCTGCCTTCTTGCTGTGTCCTTACATGGCCTTTCCTTGTTGTGTGCCTTGGAGAGGGCAGAGAGAGAAGAACAATGGGAGGGTGAGAGAAAGAGAGAGCATGTGTGCAAACACATATAAAGAAGAAAGTAAGGGATCTTTGATGTCTTTGCTGATATCAGATCAGGGTCTCATACTTATGACCTCATTTGCCTGAGCTTTCTTCTAAAGGCCCTGTCACTAAGAACAGTCACATTGAGAGGTATGGCTTCAACATGTGAATTTGGGGGGCACATAATTCTGTCCATAGTAGGGAGCAGCAGCTTTGGTGAGTATGTAGACAGAGATAAGGAATGCCTGTGAAAAAGACAAGTAGAGATATTAGAGTACATGGATTTGTTCCAGAGAAGATGTTTGTACATTTATTTGCACAACGAAAAGTTTAAAGCAATGGGAATGGATGGATTTATTTAAAAAGTATAGAGAGTAGAGAGCCTGGGTTATCTCCCATTCTCAGAATGGAGACAGATCAATAAAATATTGAAATAGCCAATAAAATAAGAACAGAAATATATCCTATTTCATTTAGCAACTCAGAGGTCATTGGTGACCTTGGCAAGATCAGTTTCATTTAAATGGTAAGGTTTTGTAAAAAACAGTTTAGAGAAACAAAGAATGAGTGAGAGGTAAGAAAATTGACATTATGGCAAACTCATGAAAAAGAATGGCATATTTAGTCAGTCATTCATTTAGCAGACATTTCTTTATGTTACACTATCAAGATAAGCATGTGAATAAAACAGGTAAATTCTGTCCTCATAAAGGAGGAGTAAAAGGAGACAGACAATGAAAATATACACTACTCAAGGTTTTGGGTGCTGAGGAGAATCATATAGCTATGTAAGAAAGTTAGGGAATGCAGGTGAGGATGGAGTTCTATTTAAGTAGGTAAGGTCAGGCCTCTTCAGTAAGATAACATTGGAGTAGAGAACTAGGTGAAGGAAGGGAGAATATTCCAGGCACAGGTAATAACAAATGCAAAGGTTCTGAGGCAAGAGAAGGCTGGTCAGTTTGTAGAACAGCAGGGCTGCCGTGGAGTGAGTTAGGAATGAGCGAGAGGGAGAGTGGTAGAAGTGAGGTCAAAGAGCAGGAAGCCGGGCTTGGTGGTGCATGCCTGTAATCCGAGCGCTTCCAGAGGCAGAGGCAGGAGGATCACAAGTTCAAAGCCAGCCCTAGCAATGGTGAGGCACTAGACAACCCAGTGACACCCTGTCTCTAAAATACAAAATAGGGCTGAGGATGTGGCTCAGTGGTTGTGCACCCCTTAGTTCAATCCCCAGTACTTTCCCCTGACACCACCTCCTACCCCCAACAAAAGAGTAGAAAGTAGACTGGTCAGATAGGGCCACAGAGGACACTTGAAGATCTGCCTTGTACTTTGAAAGAGTCTGAGAGCCATTAGAGGGTTTGATCAGAGAGGTTAAATACTTGAACTGAAATTTTAAAAAGAATTCTGGCAAGTTTGTGGAGAAGGTAGTAGGAGTAGGGGAACACGGTAGAATATTCAATCAGCATTTTCTCTTATTGTAATTTTTATCCAATGGGAAATGCAGTCTAAATTGCCCAGTTTTAAATTCCCAACTCTGCTGTGTATAAGCTGGATGAATTTAAGCAAGTCTACTGTTTTCTGCTTTTTTTCTTAGTTCCATCAGTTGCAAAATAAGGGAAATAAGAGTATATACTTCATATGGCTATGGTAAGGATTAAAGTTAACAATAGCAAGTGCTCAGAACAGTCCCTGGTACATAGTAAGAACTTGATAATATAGAAAAGCTATTATTGTCATGTTGATCAAGTTATAATTTCCCATTTGTTTGTATCTTTCACTAGAATGAGCCCCTTTCGTGGAGACCATGAATATTCATTTTCTCATTCTTACTTCCTAGCACAACACCCCAAACCCAGTAGCTAATCAAGAAAATGTTTTTTAAAAAAATGTATATGTACATATGTGTGTGTGTGTGTGTGTGTGTGTGTGTGTAGTTTCTGGTTTTGTTGGGTTTCTTTTTCTTTTTTTTTTTTGGTGGTACGGGGGATTAAACTCAGAGCTTTGCACCTGCCAGGCAAGCACAGATACACCCCAACCCTAAATGTATAAATGTATATTGTATATTTATTAAAAAAGAAACAAAATGAACATACATACATACAAGCATATTTATTTTTATAAGTTCAAACCATTCAGAAAAGTATGAAATTACAAGTAAAACAGCCTCTGATCCCACTCCTATCAGAATCCACTCCTAACATCTCTAAATGTCTATTTTTAAATTCTGTTTATACAAACATATTAAATATGATCATCATATTAGCTTTTAAGATGGTTTATTTCTGGAATTAGCATCAGCAAAATTAAAGGCCGATCTAATGAAAATAATAGTGAATTGGGATATATTTAAAAAGTCACTTATTGAGGAACAATGTGTTGAAGTTTCAGTCAAGTATAGATAAACCCCAGATCTGAGGACATAAGAGAAAACTATGTGTAGGAATTTAAACTTTCACAAGTCCAAATATGAAACCTGAGTCTCTCACGGTAGTAACTGATGTTTAGAACCAAATCCTCATAACCCAATTCTCTCTTAATGAGAATTGGACCCACTTCAAATAAATCTGAAGACTTTGTATTCTCTGTTTGTTTGTTTAATTTTTTTTTTAGTTGTAGATGGACCCAATACCTTTGTTTTGTTTTATTTATTTTTTTATATGGTGCTGAAGATTGAACCCAGTGCCTCACACATGTTTACAACTCCAGCCCCTGTGTTCTGTTTTACTTCTATTATTATTGATTTTAATGAATTATCCTGTCCTTTTTGAAGGAAGTTTTATGATAATTTGCCCTCACCATAGCTTTAGAATGTGCTTGAAATCATTATTGTTATTTAAAAAAATTGCTTTAGTTGTAGATAACACAATACCTTTATTTTATTTATTTATTTTTATGTGGTGCTGAGGATTAAACCTAGTGCCTCACACATGCAAGGCAAGTGCTCTATCACTGAGCTACACCCACAACCACAGCCCCTGAAATCATTATTTTTATAATGTAAATTACTAAAATTCATTCAAACTATAAGGAAAAAATGTATTAAGATTTTTGTCTGTTATTTTGTTTCTTCTTTCTGAATAGGTGAAGTCACCAGAACAAAAGTTCTCTACATTGAGTCCTGTTTCTACTTTTTCTTTGAACTCAAGAAATGAAGATGTTCTAGAATTCTCTGAAGAGTCCCTGAAAGCAGGAACTTCACCTGGTGACCTTGACTTTCTCTGCTTGGAATCTATATTACTCAAATCACTATTAGTCCATGTAGTGAAGTTTTTATTTGAGAGATAGTTACTAACCAAAAATATCTTGGAACTAGATTCAGTATCATAGCCCTTGAAGCCTTCCCACATCTTTTCTTTCTTTTGACTTTTTCTATTTTAGATAGTGGTCTCAATTACAATACTCCCTTCTAGTTCCTTCTTACTTCTCACTCCAACTGTCTTATCACATGCCACTGAAAATGTCTTTGACACTTCTCACAGTTGTAACTCCACAGTGTAACCTCTCTATGACCACTTTTTCTCTTGGAGGAATGACTCATTGCAAATGTCTCCTCAACACTGATGGTTGACCTTAGCATAACCTTAGTTTCCTTTGGGATTCTGGCAGTATCAAGAAACTCTTCAACTTCTGATATCATCATTGCACTCTCAGGCCTCAGTGTTTTCATATATTTTGATTCTTGTAAATTCTTTCCTGCTTCTTAATAAGTATACTATTATTCTATAGGTCTTCCACTAACTTTTATTTTCCTCTTTCTCCTTTCCTTTTCTTTTTTAAAAAATGATACTGGGAATTGAACTCAGGGATGTTTTTTCACTTAGGTAAATCCCCAAGCCTTTTTATTTTTTAGACAGAGCATAAGTTGCCCAGAATGACCTCAAACTTTCCATCCTCTTGCTTCAGCCTTCAGAGTTGCTGGGATTACAGGCATGCACCACTGTGCTGGGCTTCCTCTCTCTTTTCTTATCATCTCATCAATATATATTCCCTTCATTCAGAAGTTATGTTGGGTGAGGATGATGTTATATTTAAATTTTTTGATTATAAGTGGGTGATATAAAGAGGAAAAAAGTTTTATGTGAATGAGTAGGTGGCTTGGAGTCAGAATGGAAGGAGCAGGTATTTTACAATAAGTGTAATGGCAAGGGATTAACATGATTTTTATAGTTATGCCATCAATCTTTCACTTCCTTATTGGAGTTTTAAATTTTCTGTCAGTATTGTTTGACCAACTTGTTAGAATTACAACACAGCAGTTTATAAAAGAATATTCATTGACTCACCTACTGCTTTACTATTTCCCAAATGATCTCCAGAATTTATTTCCCACAAAACAGAAATGTTGTCTGAAAGGTACGTTAGTATACAACAAGAATCTATAGCATTGTCAGATGAAAACTTTAAGCTTTCATAGTTTCCACACAGTATTATTTATATTTCTAAGTATTCAACAAATATTAATTGCTTCTTACATTTCTAGGAGCCTCTTTATACCAAAGCTGATGATAGGAGGAATTATAAAACTCATTCAGGCAAAAATCTGCCATGAGTTTATCAGAATTGTATTCTTATAATATTCTAATAGATCAAAATAAAGCTAAAATCTTTATGCTGAAGAGTAACATGATCATTCATGAATATAATAAACATATAAAGGAAGTTACAATCACATAGTCATAAGTGAGCTATGAAATTCAGTCTCTGGAGAATGAATATAAAATAAATATTAAAACCTTTTTCTGGGTTCTTATCATGATCCTGCCACTTGGCAGATAAGTTACTTCTGGGCCCCTTTGGTTTCATCTGTAAAATGAGAATGATATATCCTTTCTTGGCTTTGAAATGCTTTGAAACCATTAGTTCTATATAAATATAATATCAGAATTTTAGGAAAAAAATCCTTAGTTAAAAAAAAATAGTACTTCAAGTTTATCAGTCTTAAAGTTTTAAAATCTATAAAATATCTTTGAAATTTTTATTTTTGAGATTAAAACCATTTTTAAATGAAATAAAAATATATATGCATATACTTAAGTGTATATGCATATATATATATATTTATTATTTATAGAGCAAGTTGGTACTTTAGCCTTGGTGATGACTGGTAGTACATTTTCTATTTAATCAGCATCAGCATTATTTTCTTTCAGGAATGAAAAAAATTAGTTCTCTGAAGAATAAAAACCTTCAACGTCCCCCATTAGTAAGTAGAGCCGGAGTTCCTTCTCCTGAACTGCCTAACTTAGATTCTTATTCATTTGTGTTCAACTGTGACACATCAGAGTCTTCTGGTTTCCCTACATTCAACTTGCAGGAAGAGTCAGCAGTTTTTCCCTTTAGCTTTGGGTCTGAGGACCAAAGTGAAACTTTCTCTGAAGAAGCTATGAAAATGACTCCAGGGGATGTTTCACTGCTCAATACAAAATCTCAAAGCAAGTGGCTAAAATATGAAAATACATCCCAATGTAACTTGACTACTCCAAACAGAGTTGATCTAGGAACAGATGGCTTTTTCAATGAGGCTATTTCTGGGATGCATTTTAGTGACTCCTGTGAAGGGCAGAGTGAAGCTCTGAATGAAAGTTCTTTAGACTCTGTGCATTTGCAAATGATAAAAGGCATGCTCTATCAACAGCAGCAAGGTTTTAGCAGTCAAGATTTGGTTTCCAGAAAGAATGCACTTTCTTTGAGTTTAAAGCAGACTTCCAAATCTGAGGAGGGTCAAAATGTGTTAGGAAAGTCCACCTGCTACAACTACAGTGCACAGGATTTACAGGTGAGGAAATGCACCAGTCTCTTTTTTTCCAATAGTTGCTGCCTAAATTTCAACAAAAGAAACACAGGTGCAATTTCACCTTTGGAATATATGGATTTTTTGATCTAGAGCTCTAGCTATAGTTACGTCATCTCCTTTGATTTAAAGTCTTCCCTACTAGTTGTGAACGTTAAATGAAATTGTATGTTTGAAATTATCTGGTGCTATGTCTTCCATATAATAAGTATTTGATAAATTTAGCTCTTATTTCTGTATTAGAAATGACTACTTCCAATATAAATAGTACCATTCTTGTTTTTATTTATGACTATGAAGTCAATTTTTCAATTGGATTATTGTTAGGGTAATGGTACATTTATAATACACTGGTTATAATTCCTTTTTTGTGTGTGTGGTGCTGGGGATCCAACCCAGGGCTTTGTGCATGCGAGGCAAGCACTCCGCCAACTGAGCTATATCCCCAGCCCCTTGTTATAATTCTTATTGTAGTTATAACAAGAAATAGAGATATACAATGATCCATTCAGTTACATTTTCCTGGCTAAAAAAAAAAATTGAAAAATTAATGAGCTAGACCAAGAAATTTAAAGGTGAATGTTTTCTCTGAAAGGTGGAAACTAATCAAAATAAGGGGGGGTGGGTAAAGAGGAAGATGGATTCCACCGAAATAGAAGAAAGATCAGAAGAGTAGAAGAAGGGGATTGAGGAAATGATAAGGGAGTAAATCTGATAAGTGATAAGTGGAATAAATCTGACCTAACTTTACTATGTACATATATGGATATATGACAGTGAATCTCACTATTATACAAGTCACTAATTAGGAAAAAACAGCAACTGTAAGTAGCAGAAAGATCAGTAGAGTAGAGAGAAGGGAACAAGGGGTGAGAGGAAGGGAGGGAAAGGGAAGTACTAGGGTCTGACTTAGAGCAAAGTATGTTCCATGTCTTTATAGTTATGTCAAAATTAACCCTAATGTTATATATAAACAAAAAAAAAAAAATAAAAGAGAGAGAAAAAAAAATTCAAGGACTTATTAAGAGGTAGCCAAAAATGTTATTTAAAATTAAAAGTCTTATGCATTGTTATTCTGGCTCTATCTGTATTCTCATTTAAAATTAGAAAACAATTTTCATGGACTCAAGAAACCAAAAGTAAAGTTAGTATATTTTCTTAAACATATCTGTTTTTTTTTACAAAAGAGAGAGAGAGAATTTTTTAATATTTATTTTTTAGTTTTTTGGTGGACACAATGTCTCCATTTCACTTTTATGTGGTGCTGTGGATCATCCCCAGCGCCCCGCGCATGCCAGGTGAGCAAGCTACCGCTTGAGCCACATCCCCAGCCCTCTTAAACATATCTATAAAAAATAATTTCCTCAATGATAAACTGTTTTTTTTTTTTTTTTTTTGGAGCTTTTATAATTGAATCATTTCATTTCAGGAGATAAACCGCTCGGAGCTATGCTTCCCAAGTGGACAAAAAGTAAAATGTGCTTATCTTCCCAAAAGGCAGATTCACATACCAACTGTTTTTCAGTCTCCAGCTGATTATAAGCAAACCTTTACCTCTTGCATCATAGGTATGACTGTTATATTTTTATTTTATTCTGATGGCCACTTAGTGTAATAGAATTATGGGAAAGTGTATTCTGAATTTTCAGGTATATTAATTCTCCACTTCAGATTTGTTTTCCATGTGTTTACTTGTTTTTGACAGTAACCATTATTCTAACTTTTGATCAAAATAGAGCTTTATAAACAAAAAATGAGGGCTGGGCATGTGGCTCAAGCGATAACACACTTTCCTGGCATGCACTAGGTGCTGGGTTTGATCCTCAGCACCACATACAAATAAAATAAAGATGTTGTGTTCACCGCAAACTAAAAAATAAATATTAAAAAAAAAACCCTCTCTCTCTCTTTAAAAAAAAACCAGAAAAATTATAAAATTTTAAAAATTATCTTTTTAAAATTATAGTTTTTCTTTCTTTTTGGTAGTTGTGTATGAACAGCAGGCCTTTATTTTTTTATTTTTTGGGTACCGGGCACTTGACCACTGAGCCACATCCCCAGCTCTTTTTTTTGTATTTTATTTAGAGATAGGGTCTCAGTTGTTTAGTGCTTCACTTTTTGCTGAGGCTGGCAATCCTCCTATCTTAGCCTCCTGAGCCACTGTGCCCAGCTTATTTGTTTATTTTTATTTGGTACTGAGAATCGAACCCAGTGCCTCACACATGCTAGCCATGTGCTCTGCCACGGAGCTACCGCCCCAACCTCATAATTTTTCATTTTTTAAAATAGAAGTATTTCCAGAGAGTATGGAAAAGCAGGACTCTGACTGAGAGAGGGCTTTCTGTAGTGGTTTGGCCCTGGGTGATGCAAAATTGTGAAAAATCAAATATTTTTTATAACAATATAAGTGACTTGTTTAGCTTCTATTTTTGTCTATTTAAAACATTCCTTTATTATGCTAAGTGAAATTTAGCCAATCCCCAACACCCAAATGCCGAATGGTTTCTCTGATTTAAGGATGCTGATCCATAATATGCTGTGGGACAGTGGGGATGGGAAGATTAAATGAACTCTAGATGGGGCAAAGGGGAAAAGGGGAGGGAGGGAAAAGAGTAGGAAAGATGGTAGAATGCGATGGTCATCATTAACCTAAGTACACGTAAGAAGAGATGAAGGATGTGACTCTACTTTGTGTACAATCAGAGACATGAAAAATTGTGCTCTATATGTGTAATATGAATTTTATGCACTCTGTTGTCATATATAACAAATCAAAATTAAAAAAACTGATCCCTTAATGTTGATTTGTTCAGTTTCATTTTTGAAAAAAAGATATTGATATTATGATTATAAAATTTCTGTGTTCATTTCAGCAATTTGTTAACATATGTAGAAGTATAAATCAGGGGGAAAATCATTTGCAACTTCTTCAACCAGAGATAAATATGGTCAAAAAAAAAAAAAAAAAAAAAGAAGTGTTCCATGACTTGTTTAATTAAATGGAAAAATTTAAGTATGATGTATGATTAGGTCTGAGTGCTTCAAGATACAAGGGCAAATCCACCTTAAAAAACTGGATTGGCTCATGTCTGTAAACCCAGCCACTTCACTGAGGTAGGAGGATCGCAAGTTTAAAGTCAGCCTGAGCCACTTAGCAAGACCCTGTCTCATAGTTACATTCCTGAATGAAACTCAGAGGAAGAATCCTCTTTGCTTCAGTCCCTAGTACCTCTACCACCACCACCACCATAACAACAAAGGATATTTGTATTATGTTTTATTTTGATTCTATTTAAAGGCTATTATCAATTTTGGCTAATATAGAGCACATGTGATAGAAACACAAATTTTTTTTTTATAAAGAAGGATTTTTATTTTTTAATATTTTATTTATTTATTTTTATTTATATATGACAGAGGAATGCATTATAATTCTTATTACACATATAGAGCACAATTTTTCTTATCTCTGGTTATATACAAAATATATTCACACCAATTTGTGTCTTCATACATGTACTTTGGATAATAATGATCGCGTCATTTCTAACCTCATGCCCCCTCCCTTCCCCTCCAACAACACATAATTATTTTGTATTTAAATTTCAACTATATCTACTTTTTTCTAGAACATCTAAATATATTGCTGTTTGAGTTGGCACAAAGATTACACAAAGCTCTTTCAAAAGTTGACATATCGTTTTACACATCATTCAAAGGAGAGAAAATGAAAACTGTAGAAAATAATTTGCCATCCTGTCATCATGATCAACCTGCAAAACTTGTCATGGTTAAAAAGGAAGGTCCAAATAAGGTATTGTTCCTCCACACACCTAATACTTGTCTTATGCATAATTGGGTAACTGTTGCTTTATGGCAAGCTTGAAGAATGAGACTTGATTTAGGAGCCTTCTGTTTGAGCATTAGGAACTAATAATAGAGTAAACTCAGTTTTTATGAAAAGAATGAGCTGACATTTGGCATTTGTTTTTTAGGGATTGGCTAGCTTCACTTAGCATAATCTGCTCTAGTGCCATCCATTTCCCTGCAAATTCTATGATTTTGTCATTTTTTAATGCAGAGTAATACTCCATTGTGTATAAATGCCACATTTTTTTAATCCATTCGTCTATTGAAGGGCATCTGGGTTGGTTCCACAGTCTTGCTATTGTGAATTGAGCTGCTATGAACATCGATGTAGCAGTGTCCCTGTAGCATGCTCTTTTTAGGTCTTTAGGGAATAGACCAAGAAGGGGAATAGCTGGGTCAAATGGTGGCTCCATTCCCAGCTTTCCAAGAAATCTCCATACTGCTTTCCAAATTGGCTGCACCAATTTGCAGTCCCACCAGCAATGTACAAGTGTACCCTTTTCCCCACATCCTCGCCAGCACTTGTTGTTGTTTGACTTCCTAATGGCTGCCAATCTTACTGGAGTGAGATGGTATCTTAGGGTGGTTTTGATTTGCATTTCTCTGACTGCTAGAGATGGTGAGCATTTTTTCATGTACTTGTTGATTGATATAAGGAGAGTAACTAAGAACAGAGTAGGGACGAAGAGCATGAGAAGAAGATTAACATTAAACAGAGATGAGAGGTGGGAGGGAAAGGGAGAGTAAAGGGAAATTGCATGGAAATGGAAGGAGACCCTCAGGGTTATACAAAAGAACATACAAGAGGAAATGAGGGGAAAGGGAAAAATAATACAAGGGGGAGAAATGAAGGTCAGTCGAGGGGGTAGAGAGAGAAGAGGGAAGGGGAGGGGAGGGGGGATAGTAGAGGATAGGAAAGGTAGCAGAACACGACAGTCACTAGTATGGCAATATGTAAATCAATGGATGTGTAATTGATGTGATTCTGCAATCTGTATATGGGCTAAAAATGGGAGTTCATAACCCACTTGAAGCAAAGTGTGAAAGATGATATATCAAGAACTATGTAATGTTTTGAACAACCAACAATAAAAAAAAAAAAAAAAATAAAAAAAAAAAAAAAGAATGAGCTGTATTCTGGGACACAAAAATATGAGTTAAGATTAACTTTCAAATTACTTTGGAACTCACCTCATAGTAATGAACACAGAGATAACATGAAAGAAAATTTTTTATATTACTGTAATTGGTAAACTGGGAGGATATGCCTAAGATACAGTGATACCACTGAGAAGGAGAATATGTTCCACATGAGGGTTTAGAAGAATGCAGGAATGGGCCTGAAAGAAATGAAGGTTGTCTGGGCACATTGGCACATGCCATCCTTGGGACACTGGGCTGGAGGATCAAAAGCTCAAGGCCAGCTTCTGCAACTTAGCAAAACTTTGCCTTAAAACAAACAAACAAACAACCAAAAAGCAAATAAATAGGGCTGGGGTGTGGTTCAGTGGTAAAATACCCCTGGGTTCAATTCACAGTATTTCTGCCCTTAAAATAAAAATAAATAAATAAATAAAAATTTAAAAAAGAAAGAATTGAAAGCTGTAATCAGTCTACTTTGTAATCCTAACAACACCAGAAGAATAGAAAATCAGATTGACCTAATGTATATTGCTGATAAAATACCATGGAAAAAGTCAGGTTAGTAAAATGTGTATTGATTGATAGCTTGTACTCATTTGCAAGACTGTGCTTTCTTAACCTATTATTTTTTCTTAGCCTGTTTGCATATCCTATTTCATTAATTATATAAAGTTGATTTTAAATTTAGTTACCAAAAGCAAGAATTCATAACTAATATCATAGCCATAAAGAATGAAATATCATATAGCTACTAAAATCTTTGTTTTCTTTTCAAGATTATTTCATGACATGGGTACATGCTTATACTATATTGTTGGGTGTAATGATTAGATTACAGAATAGAAAATGTGTCATCTAAGTTTTTTTTAAAAAAGACCACTATATACATTTATGTGTCTTTGTGTAAGTGAGGAAAAAGCTGGAAAAGAAATGCAGAGATATTGCTTGTTATTCTTTCTGGATAGATTTCAAATTGTCTATAATGAACACTTTATCAAAGAAATAATAAATTTTAATTTATTGTTAATTTCAAATAAGTTTTCATTCTCAGAATAATATAATCTTTTTCTCTTTTTGATAAAGAGAAAACATGGAAAAGTACATGGTTTTAAGTTTTATCATATTGTTTAAAGTATTTAAAAAATTAAGTTGTATTGTGACTTTGTAGAGTATATTAGTAAGGCCAAGCAGTCTTCATAAGTGTTGACAAGCATAATTAAAAAAAATAAAAATAAAAATATCTTTCTTACTAAATTTTAATATCTTTTTTTTTTTCCTCCTTTCTTTCTTTCTTTTTTTTTAAGTATTGTGCTTTGAACCCAGGACCTCATGCATGCTAGGCAAGTACTCCTCCACTAAGTTACACCCCTAGCCCTAAATTTTAATATATTTTTTTCCTCCTTAGGGTCGTCTCTTTTATACATGTGACAGACCCAAAGTGGATCAATGTAAATTTTTCAAGTGGCTTGAGGAAGTAACTCCTGGATGGTTAACACAGGAAGAGTCTCAACCCAGCATGGTTTTAAATGATATTAAGAGTATTGCCTTATATTTAAGAAGTCAAAAGATACCACTCTATGAGGAATGCCATCTTTTGGTGAGGTATGTTTCATGGTACCAAATAATTGCCTGTAATTACTATCAGAAAATAATATACATTAATAAATATGTAATATATAAATATATATTAATAAATAATATAAATCAGAAGATAGCAACCCTCACAGGATTATCAACAGCTTTAAAAGAGATTGAGATGGAAAAGTATCTAACAGAGAGAATACTTTAGTTTTTATAAGTTTAAAATGAAAGGAGTCTGTAAGGTTATTTTAACCCTCTCTAAATATCAAGCAGTTTCAGAAATATCAGAATAACTGGAAGGAGGCTATTTTTCTAACCATTTTTATGCATAGCTGGGGCTGTTCTTCACAATCTCAGGGGACTCTGTTGAACAAATCATAGGAATAATTTTTTGGAAGTGCCAGATAATAATTTTTCACAATCTTGAACTGTATAGCCTGTAGGATGATAGAATGGTACATTTTAGAAGCATGTCTGGTATAGAAGTAGGATTACTAAAAAAGTATAAATGCCATATGCATGGTAACTTAATAATAATTTATTGGGAATTTTTAGATGCTAGGTTTTCTTCTAAGTATTTTGTCTTATTCCATTTAATCATCACAGTAACCTATAAGATCACAGTAACCTATAAGATATGGAGATAGTGGAGACAAGTATTAATTTTATTTTACTGTGATAGAAATTGATATTCTCTATTTTTTAGATACTTTTTCCTATCTTCATCTTTTTAAAACTGATGATAGGGACTAGGGATGTAGTTCGGTGGCAGAGTGCTTGCCTAGAATGCTTGTACAAGGTTCTGGGTTTGATCCCCAGCACTGCAATCAGTCCAATCAATTGATGACAATTCTGTGATATTGCTGTTTTCTTCCTTTGATGGAATATATTTATTTTTCATATGCATGTATGAAAGTATGTAAATGCACAGAACTCTGATCCTTTCCTTTTTATGTTGTGTTTTAAAAAAAGATTTAAAAATTTTTTAATATTCAAATTTATTTTTATTTTTATTCTTTTTTTCAGGAAAGGATTTGACTTTCAGAGAAAACAGTACGGCAAACTAAAAAAGTTTACTGCTGTAAATCCTGAATTTTATAGTGAAAAGAAAAGCAAACTTTATCTTAAATTGAGTCGGAAAGAAAGTTCTTCGGTTTATAGCAAAGGTAAGTTGGTCTGATCATGGTGATGATGCATTTACAAACAGCTGAATATCTCTGTAAATTCCCTCCCCCCCTCCTGGGGATTGAACCCAGAAGCCCTCTACTACTAAGCTATATTTCAAGTGCTTATTTATTTACTTTAAAATTTTTGTTAAAAACTTTTTATTGGTACTTAATGATTATACATAATAACAGGATTCATTGTGATATAATTATACATGCCTAAGGCTTGCCTATTTGGTTAGTTTTTTCAAAGAACAACCTTTTGCCTTTGTGGATCAAAAGATCAGCAAGTATCTTTGTTTTATTTTGGTTTGGTTTTGGTTTCTTTTTGTCTTCCACTCTTATTTTTAAGATCTCTCTTATTTTGTTAGGTTTTAGTGTAATCTTCTTTTTCATACATCCTAAGTCAGATATGTAGCTTGCTAATTTTGAGGATTTTTTCTGTTTTCTAATATAAAATTAGGATTGTAAATTTCCCTCAAAGTACCACTCTACTTTTGTGAAGTACTTTTTTTCATTTAAATTAATTTTATTTAAATTTTATATTATAGTTTCATCTTTAGCATACAAGTTAGTAAGCATGTTTTTAAGGAAATTTCTATATTAACTTTTAACTTAACCTACAGAGTATCATCTGCAGGCAGATTTCAGTCTACAAACTTACTAGTTAGCAGATTATGGTTTTCGTAATAGTATTCTTTAAAGTTCATCTATGTTTTTTTAATGGTATAGAAAATGAGAAATATATATGCCTTCTCTTTTTATTAGATGCTGAGCTCTTAAACAAATCAAGTTTAGTAATTGCTTTCTCCAGATCTTCTCTAGTCTTGCCAATTTTTGGTTAGTCATCTATCAGCAATTCAGGGTGATAGTTGAAATCTTCAATGGTTCACGTTCTTCTTGCTATTTTCTTACTTTTTGCATTTCATATATTAGGCTTATTTTATTAGGTGCACATATGTTTTAAGTTACTCTTGTCTTCTTGATAAATTGAAATTTTATTATCATATAGAGACCCTCTACAACTTTAATACCTTTTTCTTAAAATGAATTTATTAATATAGACATGCCAGGTATGTTTTTGCTAATATGTACTTGATAAATCTTTTTTGAACACTTTTGTGTGTTCTCATAGGTACGTTCCTTGTAAACACTGTATGTGTCAATTATAAAAAATTTGACCTGTAAACAGAACAAGCCCAAATAGTTAGATTTAAATTATAATCATTGATACATTTGTATATGTTCCTACAGTCTTAAATTATTCGTTTATCCCACTCTTTCTTTGCTCTTTTAAATCCTTTTTTGCCATCTTAAAAAGTGATAGTTAATCTTTCCTTCAGTAAAACAACTTCTTAGAAAACATTCACAATCCTTTGTTCTTCTCTAGATGCTCTCCTTCACTTTCTATCTTCCTTTTTCCTTAGGGTGACATTATTTAGACTAGTAATATTTGGAGTATCATCTGCAGCTGGTTCCAATCCACAAACTTACTAGTTTTCAACAGAGGGAAACAGCTACTTCAGTATTTAAATCACTTATGTCATTAGGCAAACTTGTTTAGTTATTTTGTCTTATTTATTGCAAGACTTTCTCAGTGAAGAAACATTATGTTGATGCTATGGTTTAGATGAGAGGTGTTCCTCAAAAGCTCACATGTGAGACAATGCAAGAAGGTTCAGAGGAAAAATGATTGGCTTGTAAGAGTCTTAACCCAATCAGTGATTTAATCCTTTGATAGGGATTGACTGGTAACTGAAGTGGTAGGGTGTGGCTGGAGGAGGAGGGAATTGGGGCGTGGCTTTGGATATGTATTTGTATCTGGCGAGTTTCTCTCTGCTTTCTGATCACCATATGAGCCACTTTCCTCTGCCATATTCTCCCTTCATGATGTTCAGCCTCAACTTGAGCTCCAGGGAATGGAACGGGCTTTCTATGGACTAAGACCTCTGAAACCTTGAACCCTCAAATAAACTTTTCCTCCTCTGCAACTGTGCTGATCAGATTCTTTAGTCACAGCAGTGAAAAAGCTGACTAAAACAGTTGATTTGTTGAATTACATTCTAGCACAAGTTACTTATGGCATACAATTACGAACCATTCAGGTCAGGCTACTTTGAGTAGTGCTAATGTAACTTTGGAGTTAGTGTGGATCTATTTACTATCTATCTTTCTCCGACTACTTTTTATAAAGTTCTCACTTTTGACTGGGGATATAGCTCAGAGGCAGGGTACTTGCCTAGCATTGGCAAATTCCTGAGTTTTTTTTTTTTTTTTTTTAATTTTTTTTTATTGGATGTTAAAAACATTATAAAGCTCTTGACATATCATATTTCATACATTAGATACAAGTTGGTTATGAACTCCCAATTTTACCCCAAATACAGATTGCAGAATCACATCGGTTACACATCCACATTTTTACATAATACCCTATTAGTAACTGTTGTATTCTGCTACCTTTCCTATCCTCTACCATCCCCCCTCCCTCCCCTCCCATCTTCTCTCTCTACCCCATCCACTGTAATTCATATCTCTCCTTGTTTATTTTCCCATTCCCCTCACAACCTCTTATATGTAATTTTGTATAACAATGAGGGTCTCCCTCCATTACCATGCAATTTCCTTTTTCTCTCCCTTTCCATCCCACCTCATCTATCTGTTTAATGTTAATCTTTTCTTCCTGCTCTTCCTCCCTGCTCTGTTCTTAGTTGCTCTCATTATATCAAAGAAGACATTTGGTATTTGTTTTTTAGGGATTGGCTAGCTTCACTAAGCATAATCTGCTCTAGTGCCATCCATTTCCCTGCAAATTCTATGATTTTGTCATTTTTTAGTGCTGCGTAATACTCCATGGTGTATAAATGCCACATTTTTTTTATCCATTCATCTACTGAAGGGCATCTGGGTTGGTTCCACAGTCTAGCAATTGTGAATTGTGCTGCTATGAACATCGATGTAGCAGTATCCCTGTAGTACGCTCTTTTAAGGTCTTCGGGGAAAAGTCCAAGAAGGGCAATAGCTGGGTCAAATGGTGGTTCCATTCCCAGCTTTCCCAGGAATCTCCATACTGATTTCCAGATTGGCCGCACCAGTTTGCAGTCCCACCAGCAATGTACAAGAGTACCCTTTTCCCCACATCCTCTCCAGCACTTGTTGTTGTTTGACTTCATAGTGGCTGCCAATCTTACTGGAGTGAGATGGTATCTTAGGGTGGTTTTGATTTGCATTTCTCTGACTGCTAGAGATGGTGAGCATTTTTTCATGTACTTGTTGATTGATTGTATGTCCTCCTCTGAGAAGTGTCTGTTCAGGTCTTTGGCCCATTTGTTGATTGGGTTATTTGTTTTCTTATTGTTTAATTTTTTGAGTTCTTTGTATACTCTGGATATTAGGGCTCTATCTGAAGTGTGAGGAGTAAAAATTTGTTCCCATGATGTAGGCTCCCTATTTACCTCTTTTATTGTTTCTCTTGCTGAGAGAAAACTTTTCAGCTTAAGTAAGTCCCATTTGTTGATTTTTGTTGTCAACTTTTGTGCTATGGGTGTCCTATTAAGGAATTTGGAGCCCGACCCTACAATATGTAGATCGGAGCCAACTTTTTCTTCTATCAGACGCAGAGTCTCTGATTTGATATCTAGCTCCTTGATCCACTTTGAGTTAACTTTTGTGCATGGCGAGAGGAGGGGATTCAGTTTCATTTTGTTGCATATGGATTTCCAGTTTTCCCAGCACCATTTGTTGAAGATGCTATCCTCCCTCCATTGCATGCTTTTAGCTCCTTTATCAAATATAAGATAGTTGTAGCTTTGTGGATTAGTCTCTGTGTCCTCTATTCTGTACCATTGGTCCACCCTCCTGTTTTGGTACCAGTACCATGCTGTTTTTGTTACTATTGCTCTGTAATATAGTTTTAAGTCTGGTATCGCTATACCGCCTGATTCGCACTTCCTACTTAGAATTGCTTTTGCTATTCTGGGTCTTTTATTCTTCCATATGAATTTCATGATTGCTTTATCCATTTCTACAAGAAATGCCGTTGGGATTTTGATTGGCATTGCATTAAACCTATAGAGAACTTTTGGTAATATCGCCATTTTGATGATGTTAGTTCTGCCTATCCATGAACAGGGTATATTTTTCCATCTTCTAAGATCTTCTTCTACTTCTCTTTTTAGGGTTTTGTAGTTTTCATTATATAAATCTTTCACCTCTTTTGTTAGGTTGATTCCCAAGTATTTTATTTTTTTTGAGGATATTGTGAATGGAGTGTTTTTCCTCATTTCCGTTTCAGAAGCTTTGTCGCTGATATACAGAAATGCTTTTGATTTATGCGTGTTGATTTTATATCCTGCCACTTTGCAAATTCCTGAGTTTTAACCCCAGCACTGCAAGAAATAAAATAATGAAATAAAATTCTAGGCTCTGAGTTTTTTCCCTTAAATACTTGTGACCTACAAAAACTACAATTTCATATGTTTTAACCTAGTAATTATGTACTTGGTTGTCTTCTTGAATCCATTGTTACTGTTGAAAACTCTGAGGGTACTTTGATTCTTTCTTTCTGTTATTTGTTCTTTTGGGAAGGAAACTTTAAAATTTTATCTATGATTTTACCTTTATTTCCTGATAATTGTGTCTAAATGTGGATTTTTCATTTTTTTTTTCTTCTCTTGGCCACACTATAAGACTTTTAACTCTGAGGTTCTTAATCTTTTTTGTAATTCTGGAAAATTGATCTTTATTATTTCTTCAAATAATCTTCCTTCTTTGTATGTCTTTTATTATTCAGATGTTAGCACCTCTGAATTTATCCTCTAGCTTGCTTAACTTTTATATATTCTGTGTTTTAGTTTTTCCTTCCTTCTGGGAGAATCCTCAATAAGGCTTTCTTTTTAAAATTTTTAATAATAAACTTTAACCTAAATATATTCAAAGCAATATCATTTCAATGTGTAATTAATGTAAACATTATGAGCTATTTCATGCTATTTTATTTTTTCATACTGCTTTTCTTTCTGGAAATTCTTATGAGGGAAGACCAACCCCAAACTTGTCAGCTTCAGTGAGTTCCAGAAATCAGGGGTGCAGTTGAACTATAGTGTGGAGAGACCTAGCCACCAGAAAACCACAGTCACCCATGAAATAACCCATAAGGTCAAGTGTAAACGGTTTGGTTCAAGGGAAAAGCAACATTAAATAGAATAATATTTTTGTATTACAAAATTCTTTAGCCCTCAGAGTTTGGAGAAATTGAGGTGGGATGGAGACTGCCCTGTGATCAGTTAGTTACCACCAGTTTTTGTCTGCTCATTACAGCACAGTGCTTTTGTTGTTGCCCTGATTTTTCCAGAGTATATTAGTCAACTTTCTATCACTGTAATGAAATACCTGAGAAAACTGACTTATAAAGAGAAATGATTTATTTTGTCTCATTGTTTTGGCAGTTCCAGTCTGTGATCAAGTGGCTTCATTGTTTTGGGCCTCTAACAAGACAGCATATCAAGGCAGGAGCACACAGAAAAATAAACTATTGACCTCCTGAGCCAGAAAAAAAAAAAAGGATAGACGAATCCTGTTGTCAAAATCTGCTTTAGGGGCATGCCCCCAACGACCTAACGATTTTCCACTAGGTCCTACCTCTCAAAGGTTCCTCTACTTCCCAGTAGTACCACCCTGGCAACTAAGCCTTTAACACATAGACCTTTGGGGAATATTCAGTATCCAAACTGTAGCACAGAGGATTTCTAGACCAGAAATGTGAATTAACTTATGGATAGCAAGGTACTATTTGTTCCAGGGCATTGGGGCCTGGGGAGAGGGCCAGTGGAAAGTAAGAACAGAATCTTAGGCTGGAGTTGTAACTCAGTGGTAGAGCACTTGCCTAGCATGCACAAAGCTCAGGGTTTCATCCCAGCACCAAATACACACACACAAAAAAAGGAGGAGTAGTAAATGGAAGAGGACAGAATCATCAGTGATACACTCTAGGCACTCCAGTTCAAAACAACATTCCAGCTCCATAGGGTTTCTCTACTTCTCTCTCTATTCCCTGCAGGAAGGCAGCCAGCAATCATTCTAGTTCAGACTCATTTTTTCCCCCCATTTTAAAAATTTGTTCTTTTTAGATATACATGATAAATATATTTTTGACATATTATACATGCATAGAGTATAATTTATTCTAATTAGGATCCCATTTTGTAGTTAGTTCAGCCTCTTGATTAGAAATTTTACTCCCCTAAAGTAGTTTCTATGATCTGAATGTGTCCCCCTCACAAATTAATATATTGAAACTTAAGTCCCATGAAAGAAATATCCCAGGGGCTGGGATTGTGGCTCAATGGTGGCAAGAGTGCTTGCCTAGCATGCAGGGACATTGAGTTCCATCCTCAGCATCACATAATTGTAAAATAAAGATATTATGTCCACTTAAAACTAAAAAAATAAAAAAGAAATATCCTAGCCCCTTTGGTCCCTTCTGCCATCTGAGTACATGGCCTTCTGCTCCTTCTACCATGTGAGGACACTGCAACAAGCACCATCTATGAAACAAAGAACAATCAATCTAAGGTATTTGTCCAATGGGCAAAGATTTTTTGAGTAAGAACTCAAAAGCATGGACATCTAAAAAAAAAAATAGACAAATGTATTATGTCGAACTAGAATCTTCTATATAGCAAAGGAAACAATCAAAAGAATGAAGAGACACCCTATAGTATGGGAGAGAATATTTGCAAACCATATATCTGATGAGGAATTAACATCCAAAATATATAAGGAACTAGAACAACTCAGTAAGAAAACAAATATATATGTCTATACCATGGAATATACATCAGTCTCGAAAAAGAAGGAAATTCTAATATTTGTGATAGCATGTATGAACTTGGAGGGCTTTATGCTAAGTGAAATAAGCAGACACAAATTTGGCAATGTTATATATGAATCTTAAACAATTGAATTTAGCTGGGTGTAGTGGCACATGTCTGTAATCCCAGCAACTCAGGAGACTGAAGCAGGAGGATCACAAGTTCAAACCCAGCCTCAGCAACTTAGCAAGGCCTTAAGCAACTCAGGTAGACCCTGTATCTAGTGAAATATTAAAAAGGGCTGGGGATGTGGCTTGGTGGTTAAGCACCCTGGGTTCAATCCCTTGTATAAAAACAAAAACAAAACACACCCCCACCAAAAAAAAAAAAATTGAATTTAGAGAAACACCTGATGGTGGTTTCTAAGAGCTGAGAGATATAGAAAATGGGGAGATAGTAGTCAAAGAGTGCTAACTTACTTATAAGCAAGTTCTAGAGATCCTATATACAGCATAACTATAGTTAATAATAGCATATCATGTATTTGAAGTTTGCAAAGGGAATAGATTTTAAGAGTTCTCACTATACATACACACACAAAAATAACTCTGTCAGGTGATGGACATGTTGATTAGTTAGATTGTTGAAACCATTTCACAAGGTATACTTATGTGGAAATATCACGTTGTGCCTGGGATCATAGCTTGGTGACAGAGCATGTGCTTGGCGTTTGTGAGGCCCAGGGTTCTTTCCCCAGCAGCCTACTTACCTCAAGAATACATGTCATACAACCTAATTAATTATGTACAATTTTGTGTCACTCAGACCTCAATAAAGCTGGGGGTAAAATGTTTGTTTTTTTAGATGATCTTTGGGTGATTTCAAAAACCCTAGACTTTGAACTGGATACTTTTATTGCATGCAGTGCTTTCTTTGGACCATCATCTCTCAATGAGGTGGAGCTACTGCCCTTGAAAGGTTATTTCCCTTCTAATTGGCCTACTAACAGTAAGTATTACCATGTGTATCTTAATTTGTATTTTAAAAGGTTGATAGACATATGATGAACTTTGAGCACTAATGCTAACTAACTGTGTGTGGGATTGTTTGTTTAAAGCCAACAAACCAATGGTGTTTAAAGCTATAGTGGTTTCTCCTATTATATGCAATGAGTTCCTGAAAATGTGTATGAAAATTTAATACATCATTATTTCTGGGGTTCAAGTCCCATAGGGCAAGCAATATAATGAAATCTTGAATCTTCATTTAAGCATTAGGTTAAAGTTGAATTTTACAAGTTTATATTTGACTTTTTAAAAGTACAAACAATAGGCGTACAAATGAGAATTTTTTCAAAGAACTTCTTGCATCAAGTTCTAATCCTTATGGTTTATTTGAAAATATATTTAGTGAATAATTTATTTTCACCTTGGGAAGGTCCTGAAGATTTTAGGTTGAATTGAGCCAGAAGAGTATGATTTTTGCTTTGAGAATATCTTATCTGTTTTGAAAAATTATTAATAAGGCAGGCTACCCACCAAATTTTTCTTGTAATAAAGAAACTTTTAGTAAGTTGAATTCATATTTAGTTCTATGAATCTGTAAACTCATCTGTACATTTTGATCTCTTAATGATTTCTAATAGTTGAATTTGGTTCATAACTGATCCAGACAAAGCATTTAATGACATATTCATATTATTTCATAGTTGCTTTTAGATTTTGATTTTTCCTTTTTTAACTGAACAAACCTAGTCCAACCAGCATAAATCTAATAAAAAAACTAATAAACGTTTATCCTTCTCATATGGAGATTTTCATATTTGTTGCAGTTATTTACTTACCAGTATCAGCATGCTAATTTCCTGTTTTCCATATATTTTAATAAAATAATTAAGAAAGACATGCAAGAGAATATTTTAAAATTACACAAGTACTTCCGTACAGCTCAACTGGTATGCTGATTAAAGAGAACTGCTGGCCATCAAGCAGTGCCTCAGTGCACTAACTCAAAACAGGTGTTCTTATTCATTTACTGATATGCAGAACTCTAAATTTGATTTAAGTTATGCAATTTATGTATACTCATAGAAAGAGAATGAGTAGATAGCATAGTAATTCAATGGATAGAAGTTCACAGACATTTCTGCATGTACTTAAAGGTTTATTTTATGTCATGATTAATTTAGTAGTTGAACTCTGAGGTATAAAGACATTTAATCCAGTTTTTTATGTGTCATTTTATTTTCATCAAGTGTTCATTTTCTCATCTTCTTTATAGCAGTGGTCCATGCATTATTAGTTTGTAATGCTAGCACAGAGCTGACGACTTTGAAAAATATTCAAGACTACTTTAATCCAGCTGCTTTACCTCTAATGCCATATTTGTTAACAATGTAAGTCATCATTTATCTTTGAGTTGTTGGTATTAAAAAATGATAACTGAAAGTGAATATAAAAATACAATAAAAGTACATTATTTAAATTTTACAAATAAAAGTTTAATTATTTTTTAGAATATGAAATTACTGTCATTAATTAGAAGAGAAAGGGGGTAGGGGACACAGTTCAATGATAGAATACTTTCTTAGCATGCACAAGTCCCTGAGTTCTATCTCCAATACATCCCCCCACACAAATAAACAAAATTTGAAAAAATAAAAAGAGAAAGGGAAATATGCAAAATTTACCATTTATTTATTTATTTATGTATTGTGGTTTGGGCTAATAAATAAGTACTGTGAATTTTTTCTCTGTATCAAGGGATAATATTCTAAAGATCTTTGGAGTGATGATTTAATAATTCATCTATAGTTTGATACTGTATATTATTTGGCATTTATAAGAATTATTTTACAGCTTGCATACAGTGCATATGTCAATACTGATTTTATTCTTTTTTTTTTTTTTTTGGTACCAAGAATTAAACTCAGGGGTGGTTAAGCACTAAGCTACATCCTCAGCCCTTTTAATTTTTTTTATTTGAGAAGGTATCTCACTGAGTTGCTTAGGGCCTTGCTATTTGTTAAGATTGGCTTTGAACTTGTGATCTTCCTGCCTCAGCCTCCCCAGCCTTTGAGATTATAGGCATGCCCCACCAACTTGACTAGATTTTATTCTTTGTTTTTTAATTTTAATTTTTTTTAGTGTTTATTTATTTATATGCTGTGCTGAGGATCAAACCCAGGCCCTCAAACATACCATGCAAGCACTTCAGCCCTGATTTTATTCTTAACATTACCAGTTAATTTTTCAAACACCAAGATCCTTTTTAAAAAATGGAAAGTTATAGTGTCCTAAATGCATTCAAATAATAGAAAAAGTCCATTTTTCCAATTTGGATTGTTATTACTCATTTGGAGTGTTTTGCTTTTCTCATGCCAATGAAATTCTAGGTAAAACATATCCTTATGGATTACTATATGTAGTATGATAATCTGACTTGGATCTTAGAGTAGAATAAGATATTGAAGTTAGGAAACATAAAATGTGAAAGAAGACTGTAGTTTAATAGTAATGAACAAATGTTGGTCTTTTGGTATTGACAAATATATCTTGGCACTGTAAAAAGTTAACATAAGGGGAAGAAGTGGGTGAGGAATATTTAGGAATACTCTGTTATCTTTGGAACTCCAGCAAATAAAAATTCCAAAATAAAAAAATTATATTAAAAATTGCAAGTTTAATTAAATTTACTTAAATATTATATTTCGTAATATCCTAGTCAAAACAAAAGAGATTTATGGTTAATTAAAAAATATCCTTATGGTTCCATTATTTTTTTGTGCAATTGAAATGAATTGAACCTTTATAGAAATAGAAATACAAGCATTTATATATTTTCAGTTTTACCTGAAATAAACACTGTTAATTATCTGATTCTTAACAGTGCTGAGTTTTGGGAAAACATTTTAATATTTGTATATATCTATCTGTATTTGAAATAATTAACTTCCTCTTGTTGTTGAAGATTATATAAAGTAATGTGTAAAATATGTAGACTCACGCCACAGATAGGAAATATTGAACAAAGTTTAGTCTTCTTGCACACTCCTCTAAGTTGAGGCTGGTATCCATATGTCCTCCCCATCTTACCCACAAAATGTTTTCTGTGGTGTTTATAAAATGAAGGCCAGTTGTGAATAAGTCTGTGATTTGTTGCCTTTTTACTAGGTCTCCGTCAACTACAGTTAGCAACAAGAGAGAAAATAAGAGAAAATTTATCCCACCAGCCTTTGCAAATATCAGTACAAAATTTGAACTACTTAGCCTGGGAGAAACATTGCAGTTAGCTAGTGAGTTAATTCAGACACACAAGTTAAACAAGGACCAAGCTACAGCTCTAATTCAGATAGCTCAAATGATGGCATCCCGTGAAAGTGTTGAAGAAGGGAAGGAACTGCACACCCATACCCTCCCTATCACAGTCATACATGGTAAGAAGCAAGAAAACAGTCCTAGTAAATATATTTTTATGTAAACTTATATAAGGTAATCTTTTCGTAATATCCTAGTCCAGAATAACTGTGAGTAAATACTTTTAAACTTGAACCCAGAACCCACTTGAGTAAACTGTTAAATTAGAGCACATCTGACTACCTTGAAACGAAAAATTGGTAGCATATCTGATGAATGGTCAGCATTATTTAGTCATTGCTAAAGAGTCCAGATTGGTCTAGATATCTGTGTATTCTTCTGTTAGACTGGACTTCAATCCTTATCAGCAAAGCTTATATTCCTACTCTGTTTACTCTTTCATCTTCCACAGCAGCTATTCCAGAACTTCCTTGTTCTCATAACCCCATCCTTGCCCCTCCTCCACCCCTCTGAAATTGATCTTGCCTCTAAAATAGGAATTAAATTTGTAACAGAAACTTCTTTTAATGTCCTGAGCTCCTTCAATTTACGTAAGTTTAGACTCATTCTTACCCTTTTTTTTGCTCTGTCCAGGTGAAGGGAGCTCTATTTTCTTCTATTCAGAATTAATACCTTTCTCTGTATTTTGGCTTCTGTGTAGCTCATTTCTCCATAGGTTAGTTCTCTACTTAATCTTCTACTTTCTTACTGTTTATCTTTCCACATCAGAACAATCACTGAGGTGGGTCCCATCTGACTGCTTGCTATCCATCCTTCATAATGATTTTCTCCTTCCAGTTTACTTGAATCCACACATTCCAGTCCATCATCAGATCTCCACGTGGCCTACTCGGTGGAGGGTAGTCTCTAGAGCTAGAATTCTGCCTTTGGCTTTTTCATTTATTAGCTATATGATCTTGAACACATCACTTATCTCTTAGCTTTAATTTCCTGCTCTGTAAAATGGAAATGATAACGGCATCTACCTCAGAGGGGTGGGGGATTAAATAACTCAACGTAAGTGAATGCTTAGAACAGTATCTGGCACAATGGAATACGCTTAGTAAATTTAGTATTTATTACGTTGGGATTATCTCACACAATTTTCTTATTGATCCACCTTTAGGTTTCCTTTCTCTGTATTTGTTTATTTATTTATTTTTTTCTAATACTACCGCTGAGCTATGTACACAGCCCTTTTTGTTTTTATATTGAGACAGGGTCTGAATAAGTTGCCAGGGTTGACCTTTAACTTGCAATAAATACTCCTGCCTCAGACTCCATTAATTCCAGAGTAGCTGGGATTAAAGGCATGCACCATGATGCCTGGCTCCAAATAGTTTTTCAAAAACTATCTGAGGGCTGGAGATGTAGCTCAGTGTAGGGCACTTGCTAAACATACACACACACACACACACACACACACACACACAATTTGATAAGTCAGTTATATTGCTTAAAATCCTTCAATGACTTCCACTAACCTTTAAGATTCAGGTTTTTCAGTCATAAAAAACATATGTTTAACCTCTTGTGATTTGTCCCTTACCTCATCTCTTGCCTGTTTGCTATTTATAGAAATTCTTAAAGTTCTTTTACAAAATTTTTAATAGCTACGAACTCTGTTGTAACATCCCCCTCTCCACCAAAGGAGATGTTCTTCTTTCTCTGATCCCATAACAGTGTTACCATATTCTTTTGTATTATCTCTTTATCTGCTTATCCTATTAGGTTGACTGTGGTCTCATTAAAGGTAGAAGTATTTTGTTAATTATTTAGTCATTCCATAGTGGGCAGTCAATTTTTTCAAATAATTAAATAAAGGAGAATGTGACAGATTAAATATTTCTTGTACTTTCAGTAATGTGTTTATTATATCACTTTAATTTTTTCTCTTTCTTTAAAATAATTAGGTGTTTTTGGAGCAGGGAAGAGTTATTTGCTGGCAGTGGTGATTTTGTTCTTTGTACAACTATTTGAAAAGACTGAAGCTCTTACAGTTGCAAATACAAGGCCATGGAAACTTCTGATTTCTTCTTCCACTAATGTAGCTGTTGACAGAGTACTTCTTGGGTAGGTATGACAAGTGTATTTGAGTAGCTGATGTTTTAGGTTATTGTTGAGAGAGGCAATCCACCACAGGCCCTGAGTTTCTATGTACATCCTTGGTGGGTATGCCAAGTACTCAAGGCTATTGTCTTATACCCAGAAGCTAGCATCTGTGCTAAGTAACAAGCTAAACTATTAATTAATAAGTAGGATTGGGCTGGGGATGTGGCTCGAGTGGTAACTCGTTCGCCTGGCATGCACGGGGCGCTGGGTTTGATCCTCAGCACCACATAAAAATAAAATAAAGATGTTGTGTCCACCGAAAACTGAAAAATAAATACTAAAAAAAATAAGTAGGATAAAATCAAATACCAAACCTGATAATTTTGGCATCAAGATGAGATATTCATGGGCCTGGAGGTGTAGCTCAGTGACACAGCACTTGCCTACCATGTGTGAGGCACTGGGTTCCATTCTTAGCACCACATAAAAATAAATAAATAAGATATTGTGTCCATCTACAACTTAAAAAAAATAAAAAAGATGGGGTATTCATATAAAAATTCAGTTTCAATTAAGAACACGCAGGGCTACATTGTATTGCGGGGGAGGTAATCCACTATGGGCATTTCTCAGGGTAGTCTTTATAGCAAGCAGTTTTAACTGATGAGTTAATATCATCCTTCAGGACTAAGAACTTGCCTACTACTTGTTTTTAAAGATAGTGGATCTCCCATCTCAGTGTTCTTGTCCTCTAACTCAATCCACTGCAGGTGCAGTTATCCATGGGGATACTCTTCATCTTCCTATGAAACTTGGGGACAAAGGGATTCAAATACTATGATATCCACATTGCTTTCTGTGCCATGGGTAAAAGTCCTTTCTGACCCATGAATCTTGGGTCTGTTACCTTAGAAGTTGACTAAAATCTCAGAACCAACAGTCTGGGATTCAACAATATCTTATTCATCTGCCTTAAAATATACACTATTAACAAAGCTGAACAGTTTAAGTAGATTATGTTTTTAATTTCAGTGAGAGGGATCCAAAGAATACAGTAGCATTCTATTCTGCAGATATCAAATTTTTGTGATTGCATAAGATTTTAAAAATGCAAAGAAAATTACACAGAATATTTTACATTTTTAATTTTTCACCAAAAAACTTTGTCATTTTATGAGTTTTAATAGGAGAAATAATCCATTATTTACAAGTCTAGTCTTCTTAAAAATTAACTTTGTTTTCTCTCTGTTTTTATGGTACTGTGGATTGAACACAGAGCCTCAAGCATGCTGCTAGACAAGCGCTCTTCCACTGATCTACATCCTGAGTCCTAAAAATTTAACTTTTATAATCACATAAATTAATGCTATGGTTAAAATATGCAGATTTTGTAGTTTATATTTTGTTACATTTCTTCACAATTTTTTTTTATACATGTACACTTTCTAAATGTGGGATCTAACAATATGCAGTGTTCTGTGTCTTACTTTTTTTTTATTTAAAAGTTATTTCTCTGTGGCATTACATCTTAGAAAACATAATTTTTAATAATTCTATTATATTCAGTGATTTTCTTGTACCATTTAAACAATTTTGATCAATAAGTTCTTTCCAAATTTTTACCATTATAAATTATATTGTGGCAATGATCCTTCAATATAAATCTTTATCATACTCTGATTCTTTCCTTAGGAAACAAGCCTAAGCCAAGAATAAAAGATGGGAACATATTTAAATTTTTTAATAAATTTTGCAAAATTGCCCTTCAGAAAAGTTCTACCATTGTGTAGGTTTATGAGAAATTTAAGAGTAGCTGAGTATGGGGCTGGGGGTGTGGCTCAAGCGGTAGCCGCTCGCTTGACATGCGTGAGGCGCTAGGTTCGATCCTCAGCACCACATACAGATAAAATAAAGATGTTGTGTCCAACGAAAACTAAAAAATAAATAAATATTAAAAAAAAAAAAAAGAGTAGCTGAGTATGACATTGTTACTTCTAAGATACTGAGAAGTTATCTGGGGACTACACAGGAAAGAACATTACATTGCTAAACCTACAATGAAAATATCAGAGTAGACTGTTAGAAAACCAAAAAAAAAAAAAAGTCAAGAAGTTAGAATGAAGGGTAAGTACTAAATACTAAAAGGAAACACTTAAAAGAGATTCTTTAATGTTTGAGTCTTTAAAAAGGACCTGAGAAATGTAAGTCTGAAATTAGAATTGTTGCCTCAGCCACAGATAGGCTGAACCTATGTATCTCTTCACAGTAAGGTAACATTTTTGTTGTGCATTTGAACAGACAATATATTTTGTTATTGTAATGGACAGGATAGGACAAAGTTTCTTGAGAAGAAATGAAGAAGTATGGGTAAATACACATATGTTTTACCCTGTGGTAGCAGTAGGTTGAGGATACTGTGCCCTTTATTGTTACAGATTTAACATAAACATATTAAAAACAATGTAAACTAGTATTTCAGACTGAAAGTAGCTGACTTCTTTATAATGAGGACTATGAAAAATTAAAAAAAATGATATCTATTTATGTATTGACACTAAATAAATTTCTTCATAATTATTATTTTTTATCACCTGATTTAATGAAATGTATAAACCAGAGAAATGTTAATGTAACAGGTTATTTCTAATAAAACTAAGATAAATACTTTGAAAGACTCAATAAAGGCAAGCTGGCAGAAATAAAATACCAGAAATAAAATCAAATTAGGTGCTGAGGAGAAGTGGTAAACATTTGATGGAGAAAATATAAGCCTAAAAGAATCCTTCACTGGGAGTGTTTCCCAGATGATGATGAGTAGTTTATTAGTTCTAATCAGTTATACATCACAGTAGAAAGTTCTTTAATTCATTGTACACAAATGGAGCAGAATTTTTCACTTCTCTGGTTGTACATGAAGTAGAATCATACCATTCATGCTATCATACATGTACCTAGGTTAATGATGTCTGTCTCATTCCACCATCTTTCCTACCCCCTTGCCCCTTCTCCCCATCTCCTTTGCCCCATCCAAAGTTTCTCCATTCAGCCCATGACCCCCCATCCCATTATGGATTAGCATCTACTTCTCAGAGAAAACATTTGCCCCCTGTTTTTTTGGAATTGGATTATTTCACTTAGCATGATATTCTCCAACTCCATCCATTTACCTGTTAATGCCATAATTTTATTCTCTTTTAATGCTGAGTAATATTCCATTATGTATATATACCACAGTTTCTTTATTCATTCATCTATTGAAGGGCATCTAGGTTGTTCCACAGTTTAGCTATTGTGCTGCTATAAACATTGAAGTGGCTGCATCCCTGTAATATGCTGTTTTTAAGTCTTTTGGATATACACTGGGGAGTGGGACACCTAGGTCAAATGGTGGTTTTATTTCAAGTTTTCCAAGGAATCTTCATAATGCTTTCCAGATTGGTTGCACCAATTTGCAGTCCCACCAGCAATGTATGATTGTGCCTTTCCCCCTCCATATCCTTGCTAATACTTATTGTTGCTTGTATTCTTGATAACTGCCATTCTGACTGGAGTGAGATGAAATCTTAGTTTTAATTTGCATTTCTGGGGCTGGGGTTGTGGCCTAGCGCGTGTGAGACCCTGGGTTCGATCCACAGCACCACATAAAAACAAATAAAATAAAGGTATTATGTCCAACTACAACTAAAAAATATTATTTTTTTAAAAATTTGCATTTCTGTAATTACTAGAGATGTTGAATCTTTTTTTTATATATTTGATGATCGATTGTATATCTTCTGAGAAGTGTCTGTTCAGCTCCTTAGCCCATTTATTGATTGGGTTGTTTGTTTTTTTGGTGTTATTTTTGAAAACTCTTTTTGGAGGGCTATAGTTGCTTTCGTCCTCCAGATCTTTAAATTCTCACTTTGAGGTGGTAGAGGTGTCTTAGAGGATATGATATTTATTGAGCACCAACTCTGTTCTTAGCATACAGCTATAGTTATAAGTAAGAGGGACGGGTAGATGAAGGTACCTTCCGCACAAAGCCCTAGTCATGGATAATGTATATAGGATAAGATCATAGCCTGTGGACATATACAGGCCAGCCTGGTTTGAATCATGGCTGAATTCACTTTTTAATGATGTGGCCTCAGTAAAGTTATTTTAACTTTGAGCTTCATTGTCCTCATCTCTTTTTTTTTTTTTTTTGATAGCAGGGATTGAACCCAGGGGCACTTAACCACTGAACCACGTCCCCAGCCTTTTTTTATATTTTATTTAGAAATGGGGTGTTGCTGAGCCTGGCTTTGAACTCTCAATCCTCCTGCCTCAGTCTCCCTAGCCACTAGGATTACAGCGCCGCTGTGCCCAGCCATTGACCTAATCTTTAACATGAGATAATGTGTAGAGCAGTAGTGAGTATTAATTGAGATAACATATGTAATGAAGCTCTTCTTATTAAATCTTGATGCTAAATATATGATATCTGTTGCTTTCCATATTACTATATTCAGGGGTAATTTTATTTGTGACAAATACTGACATTGGTGTTTTACAAATATTAAATGAGCCCTCAGCAGAAAATAATAAATATTTAAAAAATCTCTATAAAATGGCACTGGGGATGTAGCTCAGGGGTAAAAACACTTGCCCAGCACGCACAAATCCCTGGGTTTTATCACAATCACTGCAAAAGGGAAAAAAATATATATATTAACAGAAATCTCTATAAAATGTGTTTTATAAAAGAATTCTTTTAACTGTGTAGCATTTACTTGATTTGACTTTAGTAATTTTACATTAAATTATATAACCCTAAAATATACTGTTATACAAATAAGTTTTGGGGCTGGGGATGTGGCTCAAGTGGTAGCGCGCTCGCCTGGCATGCGTGCGACCCGGGTTCGATCCTCAGCACCACATACAAACAAAGATGTTGTGTCTGCCGATAACTAAAAAATAAATATTAAAATTCTCTCTCTCTCTCTCTCTCTCTTTAAAAAAAAAAAAAAAAACAAATAAGTTTTAATATAAGTATTATATGAAACCTTGTTTTATATTTCATCTTGTAAATAATATCTATTTTATTTTGTTTCTTTAAAGCCTTCTCAGCCTTGGATTTGAAAAGTTTATCAGAGTTGGGAGTGTAAGAAAGATTGCCAAACCAATTTTACCTTATAGGTAAGATGCTAAATTCTGAAAGCCACAGGATATTCAGAGAATTATGATAATTTTAAATAATTCTTACGTTAAATTTGATTTTTAAATAAGAGTGGAAAGCCTTATCTTTTCATTGGTTAGCTTAGAAAGTCTAATTAGAAAATCTAACTTAGAATATCAAATCTATATTTTGCTGTTTTGTGATATATGAAAAATGAAATAAAGAGAAGTACTCTTTTTTACTGGGCACTGTGCACACCTGTAATCCCAGTAGCTCGGGAGGCTGAGGCAGAAGGATTACAAATTCAAAGCCAACCTCAGCAATTTAGCAAGACCTGTCTCAAAATAAAATATATAAAAAAGGGGTGGGGATGTGGCTTAGTGGTTAAGTGCCTCTGGGTTCAATTCCTGGTAGGGAAAAAAAAAAAAAAGAAGTACTTTTTTATGTAATTCTTTTTTTAGCTTGCATGCTGGTTCAGAAAATGAAAATGAACAGTTAAAAGAACTACATGCACTAATGAAAGAAGATCTGACCCCTGTGGAAAGAGTCTATGTAAGAAAAAGTATTGAGCAGCATAAACTGGGGACCAACAAAACCCTGCTGAAGCAGGTAAGGGGAAATAGCTTTAGTTTGCTTCTTAATTTATAGACACTACTCAGATTCTCCTAATTTCTGTTAATGGAAGAATATTTTCTTCAGTGAAACACACTGACATGGTAGCTTAGATTCAATTAGGTTTGTATATCTGTAACCTTGGATGCAGTTGACCCAGTGCATGTTTTATGTTTGCCACAAAGCAGTCTTCAAACTTGTGAACAGACTCTATTTACTAGGCCTGAGTCATTCTTTCTTCTTCTTCCTATTTGCATATCTTTTTATAAACTTGAACAGGAAAGAGAAGAGTTTTGGAATAGATTCCTGGCATGTTCAATGAAATTGGTTTTTCTAGAAGTAAAGAAAAGTTCTGACTATGGGCAAATTATCAAAGTGAAAATTTGTCTTTGATGCTCTCCTAGAAAGCCAAGGCTTTCCAGGGCCTGACTATATCCAAGAATCCAGGAGGCACAGACACTTGCTTCCAGGCACTGGGAGCCAAAATTGGCCACATAGGATTCCAAGCTTTAACAAGGAGCATCATCCTCTTAATCAAGTTCTCATCAGTGTAGCCTGGGCATTAGCTGTTACTCCCCCAGTAGTAATAGCTTTCTCCTGTGAAAGGAGAACATAGGGAAAAGAAAGGAAACTGGAGAAAAAGAAAACTGTTGGTTTCCTGGACCACACAAACATTGGTCACTTTCTGCAAGACATCCTGCTTTTGAGACCCTGTATTAGATAATTGTTTCTAAAATACTACTTAATAAATAAAATATAATTATCAATACTTTTTTGGTGTGTGTGTGTGGTACTAGGGATTGAGTACCAGTGCAGCTACCCTCTACCCCTGAGCCACATCCCCATACCTTTTTTTTAATTTCAAGGCAGGGTCTCGTTAATTTTTCCACACAGGCCTTAAACTTGATGATCCTCCTTTGTCAGCATCCTGAGTAGCTGGGGTTATGGGACTATGCCAACATGCCCGGCAAAATTAAGACAACAGCTTTTGACTCTACAGGTCAACTGGTGTTATCTCAGCTTTGGTCTCTCATTCTTAGAAAACTGCCCATGGCATGCTTTATTCAGAGGTGGAAGCAGCCATCAGCCCCAAGGCCGTTCTTTTTGTGCAACCAAAGAAAGCACATTGCCAACAGGTTACATAAGTGAGCTCATGCTTACAAGCAGATGCTTATGAACTTGACTGCATATGCTGAATCAGGGTGCTCATGACCTTGGCTTTACACTAAAAACATAACCTGCTGGAAGACTCCACAAGGGACCCTAACTATAGTCTTCTTGGGTTTGCCCTACAGCATGATAGATGTTCTCTTGACAGATGGCAGTAGTCAACAGAGGATAAATTAGATCACATTTAAAGCTTCTGTTCACATCATATCTGCCAATATTTTATTTCTTATAACAGGTCATATAACCAAGTTCAACCTCAATGAGGTAGGGAAATACATTCTGCCTACCTCTCTAGTGGGAAATACTGCAAAGCCACACAGCAAAGGGTATGGTTATGTAAGACTAATCTCATGGGGAGGAAGGGACATATTGGGAGTAATAACCAGTACACAAGTTTTGGGTCTAAAAGTTCTCAGAGGACTTGAGACTAACTTTTTGTGATCTGAATTTTAGGGTTGACTCTGGACCGCTTTCTCTTTAATTCCAGAGGGGCTTAGTTTGTCTGTGTTCAGCGAATACAAATTAACCATTTATGTAATCTTCTTACCATTTTACTCCCCCAATATAATAATGATATATCAGAATAACTGCTAATGGTTTCTTTGGTAATTT